ATTTTTACTTGCTCTCCACCGGGCATCGATTGGGAGAAACCACTTCCAATCTACACTATTATTTGGTGTTTTCATCAAATTTGAATAAATTAGTTGACTCATTTGTAAGAAACGCGGCGACCTTGGTGAGATTCGGACCACATCTCCCGGTGGCACCCCGTAGTTCAGATCGTTTCTGTATTTACATCATGCCCTTAATCTCGTGGTTTGAAATGCCGCCGACGCCTTCACAATTGGATCGAATAAATCTCCATCAACAAGGCCGTGACGGTACGGATATATCTGTAAAACAAATAGCCAAGTGAACATTAAATAAATGATCCACAGATCGAATGAGATGTTCCTGTGAGCAGAAGTTTCCCCGTTTTCAAATGGTTCCTTGACTTGATTATTGCAAGACAGTTTGTTTCCAGTGATGTAAACAATAAAGAACATTTATAACTTCCACCCAAACCCATTACACTGGCGATCGAGGCGTAAGACCTAATTCTTCGATTACCATCTGCAGAAGTGTAGTCGGCGGAGTTTTTAGATAAGAGAGGTCCATTGATATGGGTTGATCACTTTCGGTAATTTAACAGCCGAAATTCACCGGAACATTCTGCTTATTGTTTTGAGTTTACGGCCTCGTGCAGGAGTCTACCGTCAGAGATAGTAGCAGCAGCAACAGCATAAGTGACAGTTCTAGGGCGTACCAGCCAATCATGTGTTCTTTCCTCTAGTTTACTGAAATTAGTCAGGATCCGTTTGAAGAGCGTCCTCGCACAGCTTGGTTTGTGAGCCACCGGATGAAAATTATAAAAACTAAGAAGCTATGTGTTGTTCGTCGCCCTCGTATAAACAAACATTTCAGTTTCACAGTTAAGGTTTCGTCTGGCAAGCTCACCAACGAATGGCAGCTACTTTTCTTGTTCTTCTTCCCTTTTGAATGGCGCTGGGTAGGTTGCGGAAATGCTGTATCGCCTCCTTCTTTGTAATAAAAAATATGTAGTCTACGTAAGTGCGTCAAAATACCGGCTCGTATTTGTGAAGACAATCTTTCCTAAATCCTGTAGAATCAGTTCACTGAATAACTAAAAAACCTATATTAAATCTCTGTGAATCTATATTATATATTAAATCTGTTAAAACGCTATTCAAACGGATCCCGGTTCATGCCAGCAAACCAGAGGAAAGGACCTGTGAGGCCTTTCATTTTCGAGACCAGTTTGTGCAAAATGGCTATCCGAGGTCATTGATAAGTCGCTGCTTACGCGGTCTCCCCAGATGATCCAAACATCAACACCACCAACGATATGGGATTTTCTGGCATGCAATAAGGACGTCACAGGAACAACCGAAGGAATTATTGCGAATTAAGGTGTTGGAAATGCGAATCGGCTCAAAGCCGCGAGGCGCAGCAAGGTCATGAAATCTAGACGAGCAGTCAGAGGTAGTTTATCGCACCCCGTGTCAAAAATGTCCTTATAACCACACAGGTTAGACTGGACGTTTGCTCGGATCGCGCATACCCGAACCTAAGTTGGCTGTGCTACAGGTCTTCGTATTATCTTAAGTGGCTGGCCACTCTGACGGACTGGGTCATGCGTTCGACGTCCAAGCCACCAAAATAGTCTCTCACGCCGGAAACAAAACAGGCCAAGAGCTGATTGAAGCACGGGCCTCGGATGAGGACTCAGTCAATCGATTTGTCGATCTGGCGCCGGCGTACAGAGTCCTGCGCAGTCACCTGCAGTTTTGCACCATTGGTCGATGACTGGCCTACATGCCCTTTAACTGTCGCTCATTTTGTTGCTACTACTGCCTCTAACGATGGAATCCTACACGAATTCAAAAGATCAGGACGATAACCAAAATGTTCCGTTGATCGAAACCTCTTCTTTACTTATGAAAACACCTGGCACACGAAATTTCGCATTCATTCGTGCGAAATTCGGGCGCGATGCACTTCGGACCGCTCACAGATGAGTGATATTCTCTACGCGAGAGGCAGCAACATACGACCCATTGCACTTTCTGCACCGATGTCTCCAAGCCAAACTAACCCCACGACGTCTGAAATATAAATATCTCGTTAATACCTCTATGGGAAGACGCCAGTCGTTTTGTTTACTTATTCATACAACTGGAACTCGAACTGCCGCCTCCATTAGTTAGTACCGCCTTCTCCAAAGTTCATACTCGGAGAATGAGTGCTTGTTGTTTTTTAAATGAAGCTTGGATGTATGAGATATTTTTAGACCTGTCCGTTTATCAGTGTTGCTTACAAAGTTTACGACATGGTTCACATTCATTGTAAAATCCCACGGGGCATTTATGAGGTTTTTATAACAGCGTAGAGAATTATGTGACTTTTCTTACACAAGAAGCAAACATTTTGGAAACTCTAGACACACGTGAAGATGCGTGTCGACTTATTAATTACGTGCATATATACAACATGAGAGCAATAGCCTAATCCCTCACAATCGTAGAACTGTCGGATATCTGCTACACCAAACAAAAACACATTGTTCTAACTAAAAAGCTACCAAGTCGAGCTAAATTACCTGTTTGAATTATTTTCTCAGAACGGTTACCCTAGAGATTTCGTACGTCGATGCCTAAGACAACAAGAGTTAGAAGCGAAGGTACTAGATAGTCTCAATTAAACACCCAAAGTTAATAATTGGTCAATCTTTCCTTAAATCTGGACTGTTTCTGAACTCACTGGAAGGCCCTTTAGGAAAAACTAAATAAAAGTGCTGCACAAGCCGTCAACTAATTAACGCACATCTTGTACGCCCTAAGGATAGGGCTGGCTATCTCGATAAGAAGGAAATCGTCGATAAGATCCCATGCGATGCCTGTGATATCGTATGTTGTGGCCAACTAGTAAACTCTGCCTTCACAGGCATTCACGATCACCAACTGGCAGTTAAGAGGCGAGACTACCTATCTCAAATGGTCATGCACACTCTTGACACTGGGCACCCCTATGCATGAGACACAACTCACATCGTCAGAAATCGCCCCTCTAAAAAATCATAGAATTTTTTGAATACACGCACTCCGATGAGTCATGCACCAGGCAACACCTTGAGCTAGATGCCAAATGCAAACATCTCAGGAACATTGGAGTAGAAGAGATTTAATCAATACAGAATGACGCACACGTTGGCTGTATACTGACGCAAATGACGATAGACTTTCCAAAAAGTTTGAAATTTTAAATATTTTTCTACATTTGCTTAAGTCTGACGACGACCTGAGGAACCAGCGAAGAAAATTTAGTTACTAAATTTTATACTTTTCCAAAACAACGTATTTACCTTCAAATATACAAATTTATACATGCACTTCCCTGCAAATTATCGTATTGCAGTAGGCCGTACTTTTAAACAGTGTCCGTACTTTTCAGTGAAACGGGTTTTTCCAGTGACTCCTATCCCGTCAAACAAACAAATGATCCCTTGATCAGACACGAATGTGAGGACCTCCCAGGTATTACTATACGTAACATCGACTCTAGTTACAAATCCCTCGAATTTAAAACAAGGCCACGTGTGATACTCTATGTCGAATCCTCTTCCATGTTTATGCTGCATGCTTGGAATTCCAACCATCGCATGTGTTTTAGTCTTTTACATGTTTGTTTTTAGGACAGAAAAACTTCTTTCGTCCGGCGCCATTTGCGGATGATCTTATGAGTGTTTGTTGTGGCTGGACATATATCGGATTTATGGAAGTGAGACCTAAAACTTTAGTCTGGCTGTGCTTATGAGGCAGAATTGTTTAATTGCGTGGTGTTTTGATGCTTGGAAGGTAGAGAAGATCGTCATTAAAGGTCTCGAGCAGTAACTTTTTCGGGCAGGTGGTCTGATAATAGCAGAAGGAAAGAGATCCTTTACTGATATTTCTCCTCTCGAACGATCTAATTAATGGAAGTTTTTTGCGTTTTTTTCTACTCTCTTCCTTTTCTTGTCGTTAAACCTTCTACACGTCCATAAGTGCAGAAGGGAGGGCTAGGTTTGCAGATTGGAGCCGTACGCAGTTATCTCCCTCCCTACGTTCACATTTTCAAACCAAAATTTTAAAAAACCATATTTAGTAGATCTTGCAGACTTTCTATAACGAAAGCATTAGAATTTTTTATAGCTCTCAAAAATAAGCAGAATTTCAACTTTCTGATATCAGCACAAGATGACAGTCTTCTTATCTGGACAGGATCGTCCAGGATTGCCTGTCCCTAAGCATTTTCAGTAATTCTGTAATTTTACCGGACATCTACGAACACTTTTGGAAATATTCAGCTTCTGACAGTGCCCCTCCTGAGGCATAGTGTGCGCTTCATGTCTGCGCAGCGCGAAGATTTGTATCTTTCCTGTGACAAGCCAGGCGAGGCGTGCGATACAAGTCTGGGATCGATAACCAGGTGGGTGGGGCTCCGTTCGCCCCCACCCCCGCAGAGTCCAGCTGAAAGGCAGTCGTTTTCCACGATTGGCAGCTGCCAGGGTGGTCGATGCAATTAGTCGCAGAGACTATACTCGAAGCTGATTGGTTACTCTTCCCCAGCCCTAATGTTCTGCGCACTTTTCTGGCCATGAACTCCAGTGCAAAAGCTCAGAATAATAAATTACACCTTTCGATGCTGGACTTTTCAACACTACCTCCACCTGCAATGCGAGTCTGGAAAGAAGCTGCTTTGGCAGGCACTGCCATCCCACTGATTCGACGGAAAAAAAGGCTTGCCGTTTTTTAAGAGACAGACAGAATAGAAAAGCACATGAATTCAAACAGCTAGTTCATATTGTTGGCGAGGTTAATCCGAGATACAGCGACAACGTAACGTCTGCCTTAATGGAAATAAAAAAAATGCTGTGGTATCGGCTTTTATACAAACATAAACGGCTTCCCTCTGAACAGTGAAACAAAAATCTCATGGGCGCATTTCTGTGTGTGTGAGAGAGAGAGAGAGTAAGAGAGAGATCAGGAGAGAGAGAGAGTGTGAGTGAGCAGTTCTAGACGCTGAGCGAAGAGCCGGGTGCCGGAGTGCTCGTAAGGAAGCTGGTTGTCATGTCGATGGGGAGCGGGAAGATGATGGTGGAATTGTGCTCTGCAGCTATGCTGGACAGCGTCTGGAGGTACCGCAGTTGGAGGGCAACCGGCTTATCGTTGAGCATGAGACTGGCTTCGCGCAGCGCCTTGGAGGCGTTTCTTTCCCCATCGGCAGCTATGACCTGAAGTATTGGAAAAATTGAGTACAATGCGACTTAACGTTCAGGTTGGGTGGAAGTGCAGAGGCCTCATAAACATATATATATATTTAGAAAGATGAAGTTCTTTGGGAAACAGCAAAATTTTATTGTGAATTTTCGAGACTGGTTCCCCAGCTCGTCTTCAGACAATGGGTGTGCAAAAACAATTAACTTTTAGCCTGAGTCTAGCAATAGGAGTCAATGATTGGTTAAGATTGTCATCTCGGGATTGGCTGACTCAGTTTGAATCTGTCCTTAACGATTTTGTATGTGGCATCTAAATCGATATGCTTTACTTCAACTTCTTGATCTCTGTATGGAGACAAATTTTTCCTTCTCAAATCAATGCTACCGGCAATTAAAAGGTGCCCCCATGGGTTCACCAATATCCGGTTTCCTGGCAGAAGCATTACTGCAGAAATTAGAGAGCATAGCCCTTCCCACAGTCAATTCAAAACTTTGGCTGCGATACGTAGATGACACTTTTGTCATCGTCAAGAAAGATCAGTTGAATCTACTCCATACCAATGTTAACTCCATATTTCCAGGAATTACATTTACTTTGGAAACAGAGGTCGATGGACAACTCCCATTCCTGGATGTCCTTGTACGTCGAAAAACCGATGGATCACTCCAGACATCAGTTTATCGCAAAGAGGCGTATTCAGAGGTCATCCTACACTTTGAGAGTAACCACCCTGTCTCTCACAAACGGAGTACAGTCTACAGCCTTCTGAATCGAGCCAAAACCCACTGCTCTGACGAAACAAGTTATCGAGCAGAAATGAAATACCTCTACAAACTGTTCTCCCAAAATGGGTACCCGCATGACTTTATACGTCAATGTATGAGGTACCAGCAACCCAAGGGAAAAGGTATTTCCAATGCTACGGCCACTCAGGCAGCAAAACAAACCACATGGCGAACTCTCCCATAGGTCAAAAATGTATCTGAACTTGTCGAAAGACAATTGAAAAAGTACCAGATACAAGTAGCACACCAGCCGGCAACTACCTTACGCACACAGCTTGTGCACCCTAAGGACAGGGTCGGCTACCTTGAAAGAAAAGATGTCGTCTACAAAATCCCGTGTTCTAGTTGTGATGCTGTTTATTGTGCCCAAACTGGGAAATCTGTCTCAACCCGTTTACATGAGCATCAGTTAGCGGTGAAGAGACGCGACCATTTATCCCAGGTGGCCATGCACACACTAGACACTGGGCATAAATTCGCATGGGAGAACACTCGCATTGTTGGCGCCTGCCAATCAAGAAAAGGCCGCGAATTCCTGGAAGCAATGCACTCAGATGAGGCATGCATCAACCGGCATATCGATTTAGATGCCACATACAAAATCGTTAAGGACAGATTCAAACTGAGTCAGCCAATCCCGAGATGACAATCTTAACCAATCATTGACTCCTATTGCTAGACTCAGGCTAAAAGTTAATTGTTTTTGCACACCCATTGTCTGAAGACGAGCTGGGGAACCAGTCTCGAAAATTCACAATAAAATTTTGCTGTTTCCCAAAGAACTTCATCTTTCTAATTATATTTCTTGGGATGCCTGTTTTTCAATTTATATATATATATATATATTCCATCAGGAATGGGTGCCCACCGACCTATTGGCCTCACGAAGCAAACAAGCTCCGTACAGGTGGAAAAGGTCACGAACAGGCAACCAATTACCAGGCCGAAGTCGGCCAAGTCATAATAGCAGTGAGGAAGGAGGACATAGATATAATATTATATTTATTATATGTATAATGTTATGCAATGCATAAATCATGATTAGGTATAAACGATGCGCACGCATTATGCTCACCTCAACAATAAAATAACCACACCTTCACAAAAAGGTACAGCTTCATCGATTTATTTACTCGAGGAACCTGCTGGTTATATATATACAAATGTCAAGCGAATAATTTCAGAAATTATTTAGTGCAGGCCTTATAATTAGGCCTCCGGAACATAAAGGTAAAAACAGAACTCTTAAGGGATTCAATTAGAAAGATGAACTTGTTCGGTAAACTGTAAATTTTGTTGTGTTAGCTTTTGAGACTGGTGTCCCCAGCGCTGAAACAATTAACTTCTAAATTGAGTCTGACAAAGGATCCTTTGATTGACTTAACTCTGCGTCAACGTGTGTTAGTTGCAATTCGCCATCTCTTCGGGATAGGTTGTAACAGTCTGACTTTTCCTTGACAATTTTCTATTTGACATCTAGTTTGATATGCCGTTGATGGATGCCTCATCTGAGTGCATTGTTTGCAGGAATTCTCGCCATTTCCTTATTGAGCAGGCGCTAACAATGTGGGCGTTCTCCGATGCAAATTGGAGCACAGTGTTCAGTGTATGAATGACCACCTGGGACAGATGGTCGCGTCTCTTCACCGCTAACTGTTGCTCATTGTACGGGTTGAGACTGATTTCCCAGTTTAGCCACAATAGACCAAACATAACTAAAGTACCTGTAACACATAGCACACCAGCCGGCAACTACCTTATGCACACAGCTTGTACGCCCTAAGAACATGGTTGACTCCCGTGATAGAAAAGCTGTTGTCCACAAAATCCCGTCTTCCGGTTGCAATGCCGTTACAGTTTCCCAAAGAATTTCATCTTCCTAAACATATGCATACATGAAAATCAGTGAAAATTCGAGGTCCACATAAATTGTCCCGTTCATCATTTTAAAACAGAGGCGATTTCATGGACCAAATTTAATTGGTGTTGACTTTTCGAAAACTGCCTCATCTCCACCGTCACAGTGACTGGGTGCCTGTTTATCCTAGCCTACAGTTATTCTGTCTCGCCACCTATCTCGTGTCGTGGACAAGCCTGTCGCACGAACTCTGACCTGCCTCCTGGCTGGGGATTGGCTGTGGTCTTTCCGTGGCCGACAGCTGGCGCGCTCATGTTACCTCTGTCCCCTGCCAGGCCGTCGTTGTCGCTGCTAAGTCCGTGTGCCCGTGGGTCCTTCCCTCATAACCTGACGGGCTGATCATCTGCCGTCGCATGTATGAATCACTTTCGGCTGTTTGGCCGCGTCGGTCGTGCGACCTGGCTGGCGCTTTCCCCCCGCTGTGAAGGTGACAACTGAGGGGAGAGCCGTGATCTGTTCGCCAGTGATGCCGGCTCCGTTCGAACTGACTGGAGCATAGTTCGTAATGCCTGGCAGGCCAGGTGAAGTTCAATAGCCCTGTTGCTTGTGCCAACTGAGGACCAACTTTTAAACATCAGTTTGGACATCTTGTCATTGGCTTGGCCGCTGACGCTTGCTTCTCCAAAAGCGAAACTGTGTTCCTCCTGTTGCACGTTGCCATATATGGGTGACAGTATAGTCTTGTGATTGACTGCAAGATGGAGTTCATGTAAGCTAGTGCAGAGTTCCTTACCGATTTCTCCATCATACCTAACACTGCAATTTTGGCACGATATGCCGTAGATCACTGCTGACTGTTCCGTTGCCGGTGGCGCATCTTTGGGTCTCACCATCTACAGATGGTGAACGGGATACATATATTCAATCAGGAATGGGCGCACACCAATCTATTGGCTTCCCGAAACAAACAAGCTCTGTACGGGTGGTAAAAGTCATGAACAGTCAAGCAACTACCGGGCGAGGTCGTCCAAATCATAATAGCAGTGGGGAGGGGCGACAGAGAATGCGGGTAGCTTGATATGGTACTGCTTCGGGCTTATTTTTGCCCGCATTCAGCCAATCATAACCCTGACCAGTAACGGGGACCGGAAACACAAACATGCGCACAGACAAACCTGGCGCAGCTGGTCCACCAATGGGGGCTACCAGATGGGTCATAAACACTTCATCCAACAAAAGTTCATCAGTACCCCGCCGCCTGTCATTTTCTGTCGTTGCTGATCGGATATTTATTCAATCGGGAATGGACGCCCACCGATCTATCGCGTTATCGCAAAGATTTGTTTAAAATTAACTGAAAAAACACGAAAGCCAAGAAAAGTCCGATAAAAATATTCGGTCCATTTTACTGAGTGCTAAAGGCTAATGCGTAATCAGTATTTTGTTGTATAGCCGAAAACCAAGCCCGTGTTGTAGCCGGTAGTCGATTGTTCCTTCGGCAGGATAAAAACTGGAAGTTTGCAGTTCGAATAAAAAATCGCCACTGGAGAAGCAGTTTCGGCTTATTCTATCTGAAATCTTATTTTGACTTCAATAACTTGCTCGTTATTAGTTGCGGAAGAGAAAGCAACAACACGCCTCTGTAACGAATTCTGCTCCCTTGGCGGCCCGCGATAGACTTTGATGTATTGTTACAACCCAACAAACTTTGTCCGCTAAGTACGATTATCATGATAGAACCCTACATTCACTGTGTTCTTAACCAATAGTGTATTTCAGGTCAGTTTACTAAAAAACTATAACGTAGAATGCGAAATTTCATAACGTGGTTTTCTGTTAAGCAAGTTAGCCAGGGAAAATTAGAAATCGAGAATTTCAAGCCGTGGCATCATTGTCTTGTTGAACACATCCATTTCTTTAACTTGAGGCATTAATGGAACAAACTTCTAACCAATAACAAAGATAAGGCCGTAGGTGGTTAAGGAGGTTTTGGAGACTCGAAACATTTTCAGTCATCATAGATGACACGATGCATGTCCTAGCCCTGTTGTAGGACAATCAACAGTAGCCAGTACAAAAATTATCTAATCTTATTTGCCGAAAAGAATTCTCCTGTTGGATGGGGAATGGGGACACTCTGACACGTTACAGAGGTCGTTTTGGTGTCCTGATTTAAGGCAGGCGGGTAGGCGGGTGGTTTCAGCTCAGATCCTCCTAGGCGCTCCCACAACAGATAGAAATTATACTTATGAAGATTAAAGAAAAAGCTATGATGATTGAACTGAATACTGCAAACGCTTCTCCGTCTTTTCGGACGACTTTGGATTAAAAGACAAATAGATGAACTCTAAAGACCTTTGAGTGAAATAATAAACATCGGTCAGCCAGCCACTGAAAGACTGGTGTTACTTATAGAACTGTGTAATTATTTACCGAATTGACAATAGAGGTATTAGCTAAAAGCCCACATACTCGGGTTTCGCCGATCTTGTGCTGCTGATTTACGTATCTGCGAGGGGTTCGGCTCATCAGTGGGTCCCCCAGCTCCCCCGTGTGTTTTTTGATACAGTGTGGGACCGATCTCATGTAATAATTGGCCAAAATTTTGAACTGTGGTTTCGATAAGGAAGAATTACTTAGATGGGGTTGTAATATTATATATATTATATCACACTGTCTTCATATTTCATACCTAAAGAAGATGTATATTTCGGTTTTAAAAACTTTTCTATTTGCGAATAATTTTGGCCAGATCTCCCATTGCATCAGCGTTTAGCGGTTTCAGTTTACAAGGTGCATGCTTTCCGCGTAAGAAAAATCATATATTCCTCTATGTTTTTAAAAGGATACCATATAGAGTTCATAAAATTTTGCTATGGATACGGACTGTGTTGTACATTCCATGAGATGCTTTGGTAAACGGACATGTACGATGTTGTATGGATGGACATCGCACGGTCTTGAAAAGCTCATAATTAAAAAATATTTTTAAAACCTTAATATGCACGTTCTTCAAGTATAAAATATGAAAATAGTGTGATTTTCTACAGAACGAGTAAAATAAGGCATATTTTGAGCATGTTTTCTATAAAATATGTTTGAATATGTAGGACCATCGAAAATCAATACGAAAAAATGCCTGCTAATTAAGTTGTCATCTTTTGTAGATCGCAGTTTCTGCAGGAGGTCAAATAGGAGTGCATCCAAAAGCTGATATCCTGATGAGTCCTAAATGCCATAGGATTATGCTGCATGCTAATCAATATTACAATGCCACCTAAGTAATCCTTCCTAATCGAATACACATTTCAGAATTCCGGCCAACATTGCATGAGATCGGTCAAGCACTGTATATCAACTCCAGTTCCAACTTGCCCTGTTTAATTTCTGAGGAAGTTCATGCGCGACCTCGGAGCAAATCTTTCGAAACAAACTTTTTCAGGAACGGTGTAAAATTTAATATAAATATTTGAGCTGAAACCATTAGCTCTTGCGGAGTTCGCGCGTGAATTTCCTTAGAAATTAAACAGGGCAAGCTGAAACTGGAGTTCATACACGAGAAAACACACGGAGAAAGCTGGGGGACCCACTGATGATCTGAATCCTTCAGAAATTAAACAAGACAAGGTGCTACTTATGTCTTAGTTCTTCATCAAGTTTTACTAGCCCTGTAGATAATTTCATAGATGTTTTTGTGCTAGTTCTTTTGGGACAACAGAATCCTCCAGTTTGAGGCTGAAAAATGCGCGTAGGACGCTTACGGGGCTTCGAAAACGACAACCATAGGACTGCAGCAGTTTACTTAAAAGTGCAAAATATTTTGTTGTTGATTTATGCAAAGTAAATAAGCTTTGTAGCGGTTAGGTGAAATGTCAACGCGGCAGGTTCCTGAAGATAAGTGGAGGAAAATGCAGCTGCTAGCACCCTTAAAAGCACTGCCATGCAAACCCAAATTACTTTGGCTTTCCCTAAAGTATCTACAGAGAGCTGTTCACATACAAGTGCTTGAGTAGTTCCGTGTACCTGAGATAAAAATCGGCAATAATTTGTTCTTACTATCTGAAGATGTGCATAGCAGGATGTCCCCGCATGAACAGAGAGGAACACTTAACACCTGCTGTAAATGCGAAGCCGACAAAACATCAAAGAGGTGCAGCAAGGTTAAACAACATTCTCCAGCATAACATACAGTTGAAATAAGGTACGCCGTGACACTGCAGAAAGGTAAAGGTGCTACTTCATCTGCTAGAATAGAAAATCTTAGATGACGGGCAGAGATGCTTACCGAAACAATCTTATTTAACGTCTGATGAAGCCGACGCTATACGAAATGAGGCCAGGGTACGGTCAGGTCGTGAGCGTTATTCAACAGACAGAAAACGTTACTCGGCACAATTCGCAACTCAAATTACCCTTTGCAATTTACTCTTTCCTTTATGACAGACGAAGGGATTATCCACGCAATCAAAGGGCTCAGAATACTCGCTATTTTAATGCAAACACACGGAGTGCTGACCCAAAATGTGAGCACTCTGGACAGTATGGTATTAATGACAAAGAAAAAGGAGACTGGGATGGCCATTCTTGGCTTATTAACCGTCGTCAGCCAGTCATACCCAACCCCGAAGTGTGGAACACCCGAGGCTCGAACTCGCAACCTGTTAGTCAGATGTCCATGTCTCTAACCACTGGGCCACGAGCCTTTTACCCTGTCGGTGTCCATCGATCGTTGCATGAACAGAGTTATCTACACCCCCAAAAATTGTGTTTTCTTGAAGGCTAGTAGTTGACCAAACGGGAGATTTTATTTAAAAAACAAATAAACTCTTTTTATTTTGTGTAAACATATCACCTAAAGGTGCTCCCTTTTCAAAGTGAATTTGTACTTTTTAAATGCCTTGATGACTTCTTATTACATCAATATTCTGTGTGGGGGCGGTTTGAACGGGTTTAATTTTAAATAACCTATTAAGTAATCAGCAAAAATGCGGTTTTAGGTCGCATAACCGAAGAGGCCCAAGCAATCACTGAGAGTCGAAGACGAAGATAATCACCCAGTGGTCTCGAAGTATCCCATACGTAAAGGCCGCTTTGGAAACCGTTAGCAAACTGCTGGTACTACTAGGGATCGTACTTGTCCATAACCCGACTCTACCTCCCTCGTTGAGGCCTGAGTCTACGGACAACTGCCCTAAAACAGAGAGGTCATCTGTGGCCCATAGACTACAATACGACTGCTTAAAATGCAACGTCGCTGCGAAGATCGACGAGTACTGACGAGGATGCGCTAGTACCGGCTGTCCGCGCGTAGGCCGCTTCTGTTGAGCAGGAGTTTAACGTGGGCGCGTCCGATTTCGTGAGCGGAGAGTCACTCGTGCAAGCCTACTCGTCGGACGGCGACGCTATCCAATACATTTAACTAGCAAAGTCGTGCCTCCACTGAGAACAACTTTGCCGAGGGGCCGGATCGGAGTTCTTGTCCCTTCTTGGTTTTCAGTACTCACATCACGAGAGGCTGGTGACACCAACTACCACCAGACGACTTAGTAAACGTATACAAAGGCTTTAAAAAGATACTTTCTTACAGGACCAAGCAGTCCCTGATGATGACTAACCGTATGTTTGTCCAAAAAGTAGTGCAAAACAAACCTCTTCGTCTTCGAGAACCTTCACGTCTTACACACTCCATACTTCCAGCGAGAGAAGCTGCGTATGTGTTCAGTGGCACTGCGTTCGTTGTCGCCAGTAGCAAACTGGCGGTCGGACAGAATGAGATCGAGCAATATCCTAATCACAACAGTGAGATTGACGTGCCTAATTGACATTTTCACATACCCCACCTTATAAGGTTCATGATGTACTGGTGATGGGTAACGAACGTGAAACAGCTGTCTCCGCCTGACTTGCTGCAGTCTTCACGAGCTGCCTACGTATTTTATGTGGTATGTAGCCTATGGAAGAACGTCCGTTGTCGTCAGTAGTAAGCTGGCGGGCGGGCGGACGGAATGGGATCGGACAAGACCCAACCACCACAGTGAGAGTGACGCACTTAATTGGCGTGTTTATACACCTCAATTTATGAGGCCTATAGCGTACTGATAATCTGTGAAGACCTTGCAACGTCTGACTGCGTCTGAACTGTTGCCCACTTGATGAAATTCTTGCACACACACACATATATATATATATATATATATATAGGCAGAATGGTAGAACCGACAAAGACAAGGGAAACTGGAATGGCCATTTCCGGCTTATTAACCGTCGTCAGCCAGCCATACCCAAGCCCGAAGTGTGAAACACCCGAGCCTCGAACTCGTGACCTGTTGGTTTAGAAGTCCACGCCTCTAACCACCGGGCAACGAGCCCGATGCCCTGTCGGTTTTCGATGGGGAATATACAATGGTAGGGGGCGCTCACCGATCGTTCAAACGGAACTCACTCGTTCCGTTGTGCCTTATGGACTCTCTCTCGAGCCCAACCAGCAGCCGCATAGCGGCGCATGATATATAGGCAAAACCGACAGGGCAACGGGCTCGTGGCCCGGTGGGTAGAGGTGTGGACTTCTAAACCAACAGGTCGCGAGTTCGAGGCTAGGGTGTTCCACACTTCGGGCTTGGGTATGGCTGGTTGACGACATCTAATAAGCCAGAAATGGCCATCCCAGTCTCCCTTGTCTTTGTCGGTAATAGCATTCTGCCTATATACATATTCACTCAGGAATGGGCGCACACCGATTCATTGGCTTCCCGAAGCTCACAAGCTTCGTATGGGCGATAGGGGTCACGAACAGGCAACCACCTACCAGGCCGAAGTCGGCCAAGCTATGATAGCAGAGGGGAGACGACAGAGTCTGGGGGTAGATTGATACAGCACTGTTTCGGGCTTGTTTGCCTTCATTCACCCAATCATAACCCTGACCACCAGCAGCTGGTACCGGAAACACAAATATGCGCTCAGACGCACCTGGCGCAGCTGGTCCAGCACTGGGGTCTACCAGATGGGTCATAAGCACTTCATCGAACCGAAATTCATCAGTGCCTCGCCACCTGCCATTCTCTGTCGCTGCAGATCGGGTATTTATTCACTCAGGAATGGGCGCACACCGATCCATTGGCTTCCTGAGCAAATGTGCTTACAGTCAAACAGACTGGAACCGTATCTACCTTACTTTCACACCAACCACAGGATAGCTGAGGATGTGTTTGAGTGCAACGGCTGTAAACGTCGACTGACCAGTCTACGCATGCCAATCGCGACCCGAGCTCTCACCTCCACACATACCACAATTCAGCAGAGGAATGCGGGGTGAAATCCCATGAGGGCACCATTTACAAATAGCCACTGCAGGTGGATCTCCGGTCCGAATGAGGACCCGGCTATCCCAAATCATAGTTAGTAGTGCGTCGTGATGATTTAAAAGGACGCAGGGTTGTTTGAAGTGTTGATATCAAGCACTAATCCCAGGATAGATCAAACATACTCCCTCATCCACGTTCCACTGGCCTGCCTGATCGCAAAATAACTGGAGATGAAAATGGGAGCGTAACATAAGGCTGCTGTCTAACGACTGCCCCACAACGAACCATGCACAGGCCAAGAAGACCAGACAAGGTAGAGGGCAATGCGGTCTTTCTCTCGTTTCTAAAGGAATACCCAGTTCTATCGTCAGAGAGCTACTGACCGATTATTCATAGATGTTTTGGCAGATTTTGAATAATTCATATTAACCTAACTGTGAAAACTCGGCGCCTCGGTAGGATTCGGACCCACGGCAGTAGGGTGAGGGTTTTAGCACAGCCAGTGTTCTAACCACTTGAGTTACGCCTGACGACGCGCGTTTAATCACATCTGAGAACGCATTTCTATCCTAGAAAATGAGTGTCGTAACTAAGTGATTTTGATGAAGTTCAAGTCGGCAAACATACCTTTCGATCATTCTTCGTCAGGCCAATACATTAATATAGATCTAATTGCAGCAAATTCCGCTGATCTAACTAGACCTATAATTGTGTACTGGCCCGACAGAGAATAATCGAAAACGTATGTTCGTCGACTTGAACTTCCTCAAAGTCACTTACTCACGGCTGTTATTGGTTAGGATAGAAATACGTTCTCAAGAATCTTCAAAATGTATAATAATGATCCAATATAAAATGAAAGCGCAAGCACTTCACTGGCTAACTCGGCTGCATGTTTTGACTAACGCTGTGAGAACAGAATGGTCGCTTCTGAATAATTAATATTAGTCGGCCGATCGATTTTCAACTCCGGTGAGGGGATTACGAGTGGACGTGTTCCGTCAGACCTGACCCGTTTTCCAGAGGAGTCCCATTGCGTCAATGCACTAATGGTTGCTTACAATTGCAGGCAGACCGACGGAGATAGAAGTGGCGTTTTGGACTTACTGATCATTATCGGCCAGTAGTAACCCCGCTAATGGATGCACGACCCACAAATGAGGATTCATATGCAGTGTGTGACCGATCTCGTGAAATTTTGGCTGAAATTCTGAAATGCGTTTTCGATTAGGAAAGATTACTTAGGTGAGGTTGTAATGTTGCTTTCGAAACAACAAAATTCCATAGTATTCTAGACTTGCCAGGATGTCGGTTTTCGAATGCACTCCTTTTCGACCCCTCATAAAAGCCAAATTTGGTAAAAAAAATAACAACTTAAGTAGCATGTATTTTTCATGTTGATTTTAGATGGTCATATAATTTCAAATATTTGTTATGGAAAACATGCACAAAAATATGCTGTATTTTATTTGCTCGGTTGCGTTGCAAAACCCCTCCCAGAAAAATGAGACGTCGCGAAGTAAAACTTTTTCTGTTCTATAAAATATGGCGTCTCATATCTGATATGGACTGATCAAACGAACGGAGGAAGCTTGCATCGGAAATAAAGAGGCCTACTTTGCGCAGACGTTTGTAATGCATACCTAGATATACTTGTGGATAAAATCCCCGATATAGTACAGTGAAAGATCGATCTCATTAAATTTTGGCTTTCGATTAGGAAGCTTTACTTAGGTGGGGTTGAAACCTTCATAATTACGGGACAAGGTCCTAATATATTTCGGATTTGGCAGGATGTCAGCTTTTAAATGCTTAGCATTTTAATCTTCTGTAGAAGCTGTGCTCGGTAAAAATGACTTCTTATTTGGCATGCATTTTTACAATGATTTCCGATTGTCTTAAAAATTGAAATCTATTTTATAGAAACTACGAACAAAAATATGCCTTCTTCCAGTCGTCTGATAAAGAATCGCATCGTTCTAATATTTTTTACTCGGAAAAAGAATATAATTAGGTTTTAAAAAAGTTTGGAGCCTGATCGGCCGTTGCACTAGCGCTTAGTAATTTAAATCTACAAGGTCCATGTGTTCTCCGTAAAGAAAATCACCTATTCTTCTATGCTTTAAAAAGATACTATATAGGATCCATAAAATTTTGCAACGGATACGGACCGTGTTGTTCATTTTATGGGAAGCTGTAGTAAACAGACAGGTACTAGGCTGTATGAATGGACATCGCACGGTCTTGAAAAATCTCATAATGAGAAACTTTTTCAAAACTTAATGGTACCAATTCTTCGAGTATATTGTATAAAGACGACGTGATTCTCTTTCAAACGACTGAAAAAATGCATATTTTTCGTGGTTTTAAAAAATATATTTGAACTTGCAAAACCATCGAAAATCAATGTGAAAGATGCATGTTAATTAAGGGTCATTTCTTGCCGAATGAAGTTTCTACGAGAGATATAAAGGCAGTGCTTTCAAAAGCTGACGTCCTGCCGAGTCCGGAATTTTAAAAAATTATGTCGCAGGAAAATCAGTTTTCCAACCGCGCTTAAGTAGTCCTTCCTAATCGAAAACGCATTTCAGAATTTCGGCCAATATTTCGTGAGGTCGGTCACTCACTGTAAGTCTACGAAAGTCGAAACGCGATATAGCGAGAGATTATTGTTAACCGCGTATGGCGACTTCCCTTGAATACTAAGAGCTGTCGGAAGATCAGCTGGATAATGTGAAGCGAGATGTCATATATTTCATCGCTAATAAGGACTGCATAAAAATACCACTGACCCTAATGCCGAGATTGAAAGATTCCATTCTCATATGGTTGCCGCTACCTATAATCGACAGTGCATGTTAAGACGGACAAGAGTATGAATTCCGACCTTTTTGTCGTTGTCAGTCGGTTATGATTGAACCACCTGAGATTTTCACCCTGATCTAGTTGGCTATTTAATTTATCTCTCTAACACTTATACGACAAATAAATCATCTACTTTTGACGTCGCGCCATTGGCCGAGTACGGAGATATGCCCCGCGACAGTATTTCTTCGAGTAAAATACGTCTTGAAGATTTTACTGATATTGAAGAACACACCTTCACCTGTCTTTTATTTCTGCAGTCGGGACTCTTTATTCATGGCCCCGCTACCTCAAGGTCATTCAACGCCAAGCAAACAATTTCAGGCAGTTGAGCCCACTGCAACATACGCACACGCGCGATTTCGGGCAGTCACATCCGTCTTTGCCCGAATTAAGCATGCCATACCTGAAATATGTATAATGTCAGTTCGACCGTCGTTACTGGGGATGTCAACTGTGTGCTCCCTTACAGGCAGTGAGAGCAGGCACACTGAATTGCGCGTAAATTAGTCTATAGTTGCGGTGGACTTGCACAGCATCTGCCGCACCCTCTCCTCTTCCCCATCTGGGTCCCTGTCAAGACATGGTCAAGAACACCGGAGGTGGGAGAGGGCGCGGGGGGATGGCGTGGTCGGAGCCGCACCTAGGCTTAACAGGGTGAGGCAGGCACAGTGACTTGTGCGTGAATAGGCCTACAGCGAGAGGAGGCTTGTGCGGCATTTATCACACTCACTCCTCCTTCTCGTCACCTTGACCCGGTGTCAAGACAGAGTCAAGAATCCCGGAGGCGGAAGTGGGTTCAAGTGGCTGGCATGTCTGGACCCGCACCTGGGCGTACCACTCCATACTCCCTGGTTCAAAACAAACACTTGACCGGGATTTTAACAAACAACAACAGCACAACAACGGATCACAAGGATGAGGATGACTGGACAGTCATGCCTGCGACCTGTGTACTCAGCGAGAGCGCAATCGCCTCCGCTGACAGGGAAACCAGGTGCCAGAGGACGGACAGTGCACATCAAGTTGGAAGGGCCATGGTTTGTTGATCATTACATAGGAGATACTCACAATCCCTGAGGACTAGAAATGTGACACGCGGCCCTGCATTCTGCCTCGGCCATCGCCCTTTAATCGCAGGATGACCAGTCAGTCTTCGACTGGGAGGCGATACTCATAAAGAACTGTTAGCAACGGGCGGCAGTTATTTGATTACAACCACAGGCCGACTAGGGAGGCAGCCGTGTTTGGCGTCTTCACTTTTGTCAGCCAGGTACACCCAAACATTACTTCAGGGAATACCCAACGCACGCTCAAGCCATTTCCACATTGAGTCATGCGTTCATAGTAAGTTGACTATGAATATCTAAAGTCACACGACAATGGTGTTCACCGAACAAATGGAATCGTTCAGCATTTTTGGGCGTAAGCATCGCATATGCTAAAGTAAACGGTTTTTTGCTCGACTAGGTAAATTGGATTTCCTGGAGACGTTTGAAGGTTTCTGTCTCGATCTCTCTTCCAAATGACACCCCAAAACCTAACTAGCAAGAAGAAACACCCTCCCTCTCTCTGTGCTTGAGGTACGTAACCTGCAATATGTGCACCACTAAATTGCAGAGTCGAATCAGGAGGTTGCTCATTGACGCCACCCGAAAGTCCGACCGTCGTTGCCTGCCGAAGATGTCTGCCGTTTGCTCCATGCAAGGTGAGAGCAGGCACGGTGACTTGTGCGCGAGTTAATTCATAGAGGTGGCAGATTTGCACTACATCTATCGCACCCTTACCTCCTACTCGCTACCTGAACTCGGCAACTCTAACCTTCTGGCGGATGTTTCGGAGGGCCTGGCCGGCTCTCCACTATCAGAGCGTTTAGTGCAAAAAATTGACCAGAGCTTTAAAAAAAACGGCGAAATTAGATGGTCTTGGGCTGATCGATTTTTCTCCGCTTTCGTTGCCTTGGTCTCCTGGCTGCTGTTGGTAAATCGTTGCGACCTCCTGAATTGTGTGTCGTCGCTTCAATTGGGGTCGGTTGCGTTTGTGCCCTCCCCCCTTGGTGTGAATCAGTCGACGGGCCGTGTTTTCTCGCTATTTTTAAGCTCCGTGTGACCGTATTGTCCTGTTCATGCTGTATGTTGTGACTTAGGACTTTATAGGCCAAGGGAAGGTCTAGATGCATGTTGATGGATTTGACATCTGAGTACCAAGCCTTTTGTGTAAGACGTTCTGTCCTCGAGGTGTCCCTGCCTAAGACGGCTGCTCCCTGAAAGTCAAAACCGTGGTCAGTTTCCCCAACGTGAGTTGCAAGCTGTGAGTTCGGGTCTAGTCTCCGGGTTGTCAGTTCGTGCTCGTGTAGGTGGGTCTGCCATTTCCGTCCAGTAGTTGCAATCTCTATCGTGGCAACGTATTTGATAAACAACTGTTGAGGTTTCAGTAGGTTACAGTATGTCTGTGGATTGCATCAAAAGCTGACGAAATGTTGCTCGAGGTTGATGGCCACTGACGGGTTGTAACAGTCCTGAAACCGCCCCGGAGACTACTCTAATGTAAGGATTGTTTTTATGTCTTCCTAGTGAATATTATAATGCGTCACTTCATAACGCTCAAGTCAGTCGCTGATCGAATTCTGGATGATGTTGTCTATCCCCTTCATTCTCAACTAGTTGCTGCGTAGTCCACCCGCCCAATGTGTCATTCCATACTGCCATTTCTGACACGATACCTTACATGAAAATTAAACTTAATAAAGAAACTGAGACGTGAACTGTCCCCTTAATCGATATTTATTTTTAGGTAAACCTAATTACTCCTGCATCATTTATGCGTTTATATCTTGGTTAAAATAAGTGTAGACATTCTTACTAAAAATGCTGAATGATGTTTTCGAAATCAAGCGCATTCCTCTCTGAAGACGTCTTTCTTCTGCAAGGGACAGTTGTTGTTTAATATTATATGTCCCGAAAAACCTCTCCATTAGCCTTGACCAGAAACTTACTTGTTTGCCTGCATAGAATCTAGTCAGAAGCCTGTTTGAGGTAGAATCCTCATAGGTATATGGAGAATAATGATTTATATCGTTCACATATAATCTAAGGAAGATCTTTTTACCTTTGCTCTGGCTTCTCTGGTCGCCTCAGCTTCGGCGGCCATTGCTCGTTGCAGTTGAACCGGCAGGCGAACGTCCTTTCTGGAAACAGTAAGGTGAAAAACAAAGTTAGTCCTGAAAGGCAGTTGCATGCTACACTTAAACTATCTGTTACGACGGACTTTGAGATGTAAACATCTCGCACGCTGAGGAGAAGCTTGCCGTCGCAGGAATTCACACGACCGTCTTAACGTCAACTACTCTACTTATAAGTCGTCCCAGCCACAGTTGTCAACTTGGCTAAGTAATCGATGATCCCTTTCCGTCGGAATTGCAAGTCAATGTCTTCACGTTTGAGAGCTCGGATACGTGTAGAAGTCCCAACATTTCTGTTTACGCTCCGACAGGATGAATAATTGAGCAGAAATTTTCTATTATAGATGAAAAATGGTGTTCCGAAATGCCGGTGAGAAAAAGGAAGCTCGAACGTTGAAAACAAGAACTGAGGCAACAGTTGGATGCCAGGTCACGAGACTGGAAGAAACGTTGGCGAGACATGGAACGTATGGAGTTTCGGACAAGGTAGCGAAGAAGGAGAAGCAGGACGACCGGAGAGGACATATGCTGTGACGAGGAATGATGCCAAATCTCAAGTTGCTGTTCATTTCAACTAAACAGAAATGCCGCGAGAGGTAAAAATAGTTGCTACAACTATGGTTTTCCGGCCTGCGGTCAATAAGCAAACTCAACTAGCTCGACTCTCCGCACTTCGGAGCCCGGACATGGTCGCGCGGAGAGAGAGCTTGTGGAAACTGCTTCCGAGAGCAGTTGCTAGCTAAATTACACTTGCTAACTAAATTGCACTTGCTAGCTACTTGCTAGCACTTGCTACCTAAATTACAGAGCAATTATCACGTCAATCACCAACGCTGGTGATGACATACTGTCCATTAACTACTCAGATGCAACAAAAACGAATACTCGCGGGGAATGCAGGAGCTATACCATTTCTGTAGGAGCGTGATGACATATCACCACAACCTATAGATATCATGTCAGCGTAAATCGTCCGTTTTTATCATGTACTCTATCTGATGGTGTGTTAGATGTTGAAATTGAGCTATGTTCTTGATGCGGTGAGCAAAAATCCATCTTTTCAAAAAACAACTTCTATTTTTGACTCGTAGGACAGGAAGTATATTCCTGGGTTCTATTAATCAGATCGTTTTCACTTCCTGACGAAAGATGAAGAAGGGCTGAAGTTAAATTGCACAGAATTTGTGCCATGCGTTCTCTTATTCACAGACTAAATCCGCGGTGTATACGAATTTTCAGTATGATATCCGGTTTGTAGCGCGATAGAAAGTTTTTTTAGTGTAATTAACAGAAAACACGTTAACAACATTATGTTGATCCAGGGTGATAAGAAAGACTGGTTTGTGAAATCCACTTTTCCGCCAGTTTTGCGAACCATTTACTGGAATTGTGGAAACCTCGGCAGTCTAGGTGGGATTCGAACCCACGTCAGCAAGGGTCAGCGTTCTAGCTACCCGTGCCCCGCTGTCCCACCGCAAAATAATCGGCGTTTTTGTTTAAAAAAAATTCCGCCATACCCAAATCGTTCACTTGCATGAAGGGCATACTGAATAAGTCTAAAACAAACCTAGTCAGTAAGGATAGGTTGTGTAATCCCACTAGGTTTAACAGGTTCAGATAACCGTTATATTCATTTTAGAAAGCCTTGTTTTGTTTATTAATCCATAGTTACAGGAAGTCCCTTTGTCTGCTATCTAACACTTTGATATAACTCTATGCATCACGTTGTTTCGGCATGACTTCTTAGTGATAAATTATCTGGAATGATGCTCTCGTTCCCCATCCCCATAGTCCCTTTGTCTTAGCTTAGTTTCCTTGTAACCCCAACGCACTTGAATTGCCTTTCCTTGCCGATTCCGTACGCAGTGACTTACTTAGTTCTTCCGCAGTAATAGTTAAACCTTTGTGTCCCATATCGATACTCACCATACTACGCGTGCTGGTTAGAACTTCAAAGCCGTAAAAATTGAACCAGAGGCTCGTTGTCCAGTCGGTCACCATCCGATATATTAACAATAGTAGTGTCCCTGCGAAACCACCGTCATTCTAGCGACTAGTTGGTAATTATAGACACCCACAGATGGAGGGGGATGCGTCCATTATCTTTGGCTGTGAAACATCGCGTAACCACCTGTCAGTTTCTCACCCCAGACAAGATTGCATATCCGGAATGATAATTACCTATTGTTAATCGAAATAGAATTTACCCACCTTGTGGACAAATACCAATAATCTGAAGTACGGAGCACTTTTTACAGTATTATTACATATTTCAGAAGACGTTAAAACCACTTAAAGGGGGACATACGTAAATTTTCGCACGTTAATATGCCGTCTATATAATAAATTCCATTGCGAATAAGTGTGTAAAATTAGGTTGAAAAGTTAAACCGTTGTGTTTTTTAATAGATTCTTGCCGGCCAAAAAAAGTCTATAATATTTTACGAGAAGGCACATTACTGACTTGTTTCGCAGATCATGACGTCTCTTCCTAACGTTATGCTTGCAGACAGTAAATATTTCTCTTCGAATAACTCCAGTATGGCTTGAAACCCAGCGCACTCTTTAGCTCGCTGGCACGTTTTCCAAAATAAGCAAAGTTGTCCACACAAGATTAACACATCTTTCAATGCTTCCATGACAAAGTTCCATGGGACACTCACTTTCAAAAAGACCTGTGCTAGCTACAGGAAACACAAGCAAACATATCGATGGGATTAAAATAAGAGGACAAGTGGCTAGATGTGTGTTCAATCGGAGTCTATCATGCTGCGGCGTATGAGCCGACTTGGAATAACGCCCCAAATTTCAAACCTTGTTGCTGAGACCATAACGAAATGCTTGCCTAAGTTGGGTGCCGACGCAACAAAGGCAGGTTGAAACTGCTGGCATTATTAGATGTAGTCCTGCTTTAAAATTGCTCAAGAGAGGAATAATTTATGGGAGATTTGTAATTGGCAGTTCGACCGTCGTTGCCGAAGATGTCGACCATGCGCTCCACAGCTAGGTGAAACAGGCACAGCGACTTGCGCGTAAATACGTTTATAGTGAGTGCAGACTTTCGAAGCATCTACCGCACTCTCCCTTCTCCCTCACCTGGGCCAGTTTAGAATGGGAGTGCCATAAAGGCCACATTAAGAAGGAGCCATTGCAGCCTGACTCGTAGACCACTAGTCAGCCGTTTTACACAAACACATACTGAGTTGAGTGCGAGGTCCAAGTTGACAATCTAACAAGCCATGACTTTTAGCGCGCCGGGATAGCTTCAAGCGCGTCAGATTATTTGTAGTGAGAATATGCTTTGATCGGTCAACCTCACTCTCCCTCCCCATTCCAAGGCTCCCGCCCATGTCCGAGCCGGTCAGTTGAGAGGTGCATGGAGAGGGCGCGGTGGGTGACATTTCTGGTGACAGAAGGTTATTACAGACAAAGACAAGGGAGACTGGAATAGCCATTTCTGGCTTATTAGCCGTCGTTAACCAGTCATACTCAACCCCGAATTGTTGAACACCCGAGGCTCGAACTCGCGACCTGTTGTTTTAGAAGTCCACGCCTCTACCCACCGGGCCACGAGCCCGTTGCCCTGTCGGTTTCGATCGGGAATATGCAATGGTCTTTGTCGGTAATAACACACGGCTTTTATCATGCGCCGCTGTACGGCTGCTGGTTGGGATCGAGAGAGAGCCCGCAAGGCACAACAGAACGAGTGAGTTCCGCAAGAACAATCGGTGAGCGCTCCCTACCACGACCACACGCACGATCTGACCCCCAAACACATGCGCCAGGATTTCACACAACGGAGGTTAGGCGGCATACACCTCGCATGCGTGGGAGTGTCGGAGGTCACTGCAAGAAGGAGCCTTGACAGCCTGTCTCTCAGACCACAAGTACGTCATTCCACAATTGGCGCCAAGCGATCCCTACATTTCAATCAAAAATGACAGAGGTCCTGACAACGGCTTAGCTTTAGTACGGCCCCCTTAACTATAAAATGAAAGTGGGTATGTGTCCGGAGTTGAGATATCTAGGCCGCAAATGCCCTACCAATCCACTTAGCTAAGTTGTAGAACATAGACGATGACGAATATTTAAACGGTATTAAACAGAAATGCAAACTAACTGCTTGCTGATTGATGCAAGGAAAAAGTGAAGAGTTACGGGCAAATAAATAAAAAAACTACAAGTGTCAGATTAAAACAACATTGGCTGAAATCACTGGGGAACATAGGTGCTGTTTACCAAAGAACGCACCAACTAAAGTGCACGTTTGGCTTTGTCCGGGCTGGACTTCATCGCAAAAGAAGCAATCCTAGAATCGCAACATACATTGTCAACTACTTGAGATTTCGTAAGATAATTATGGTCGGGGTGATAGATAAGTCTGCCTGCACTTAACTCGGGCATTTGAAGACTGACTGACACTCGACCGTCTAACCAATCAGGGGACGGCTGACGTCATGAACACTGACACGCCTTTAATTCATAGGTATTAAAATGAAAAAGGCTTTCGGCGTGGCCATCAGAAAGATATTTAAACACTACATAATGTTCCGTCCATCTGTGCTAATTACAACCGAAAATCAATAGCAATCTAGGCTGTGAGCAGAGGGACCTCTACTGTTTACCTCCATTTCATGGAAAGTATACATGCACTTGCCTTCATTATTAATAGGACATTGTCCCACATACAGTATAAGTGCTAACTCATGAAATGTCAACCAACATTTTGAAATGCGTTCTCGTTTCGAAAAGATCAATTAAGTAGTGTTACAAAACTAATCATGATGCAGCATAAATGTATAATGATCCAGTTACCTCAGGGTGTCGGCTTTCGAAAAAACTTATTTTAAGCTGCATGCAAGATCTATACTCTGCAAAAAATGACTACTTACGTAGCAAGCAATTTTATCTTTGATTTTAGATGCCTAGATAATTCAGTTATATTTCATGGAAAACATGCATAAAAATATTCATTCCTTTACTTATTCGGTAGAAAATCACGTACTCTTCCAATTTCATACTCAACAGAAGAGTATAATTTGGTTTTAAAAACTTTTCTAATTCCCGAATACTTTCGAACCCGGCCTGCTGTTACACTTGCATTCAGGGTTTCAAAACTGCAAGCTGTATATTTTCCGTGTACGGAAAACCATACATTCTTCTACGGTGTTAAGAGGAGACCATATAAGGTTCATAAATTTAAGCAGTGGATTTGAGCAATATCGTTAACTTAACAAGCCATATTCGTAAATGCAGATACATGACGTTTCATGAACGGCCATTTAACGGTATTAAAAATCTCACAATTAGAAACTATTTAAAACCGAATTATACTCTCCTTTTGAGTATGAAATTGGAAGAAGACGTGATATTCTAACGAATAAGTAAAAGAATGAATATTTTTATGCATGTTTTCTATGAAATATAATTGCATTTTCAAGAGCATCGAAAACCAATGATAAAATAACATACTGCATAAGTAGTCTTTTTTTGTAGAGTATAGATCTTACATGCAGCTTGAAATAAGTTCTTTCAAAAACCGACACCCTTAGGTAACTGGATCATTATTGATTTATGCTGCATAATGATTAGTTTTGTAACACTACTTAATTTATCTTTTCGAAACGAGAACGCATTTCGAAATTTTGGTTGACATTTCATGAGTTGGCTTATCTACTTTAGCTTCATGTGCTTAAGAAAGGCACTACAAGGTGCTCGGCCAAATTAAATTTCAGGCTGCTTTTGTGTGCACAAAACCGCAATTATTCCAATTGACTTCTGATTAACTGGGCTTCAGTACCAACAATTATCCCAACACCAATTCTGTAGTTATGTCGTACATTATTGCAGAAACGCCATTGCCAAGTAAACTGCTTCAGTGCAAGTATTTAACCACTGACAAAATCCAGAGGCAGTACCCGTCTGAGGATTAGTTCTATGGCAGAGATACCATCTATGACTTCGCTGCGTTTTTTCCTCCGGTAGTTTAGAACGGCAGAAAAAATAAGTTGCAGGCTGACAACTAACATAGGCAAAAAGCGGTTAAATGGCATAGGCTTACTCGTGAAGGTCTGCAGCATACAGGAAGCGCGCCTGCAGGAAGCTCGGCGCGCGTAACGAAACCTGTAGTTCCCTATCGATTAACCAGCATAAAGCCATTGGCAGTTGCCGCCTCGTATTCAGGTGAATGCCCTGGCTTTTTTGAAGATATCGCTACACACATTTTTGATACCGGTTTAGAGTTTCCGGTTTGTACGTCCAGTCATAAAATTAGGCTGGAAAAGAGCGCGCGAACCGTCGGTTTAGTGGTTTGGGGAAAGAATTTTGCTCGCCTCAGGACCCTTAACTCCCGCCGGGTACAACCAGAGCACATCACTTCACTATTTAAGGATTACGCCGGACGGTTCGTTATCCAATAGGATGGCAGATTATATTAGCCAGTTCGTATATCTGCGAGGTTTGTAAACTTCTCATAAGTGGCCGGTGGACCAAGCCCATTTCTACAAAGGCCTGTAGGTAATAGCGGTGTGTGATTTGTGACCACTTGTTTGCTGAACCCGGGCAGTCGAAAGTCTTTATCGTCCGCAAAATCTGGCCAAAAGGCAGACACCTTCTAAATGGGTATCTGTCCTGCCGAAGCCTCATTGTGAAGTCGATTCGCCTCAGCAGAGTGCTTTTATGTGACTGAAATGTCATCACATAGCCGCACAAGTAATGTCGACGAATGAATATGAATTCTAATCCAAATTTCAAGCAACACAACCAGTGTGTTAGTTAGAATCCTGTCAGTTGTGATAAGCCCCCAAGTCCTATAACTTTCGCTTGTCCTGTTGCTGCTACTATCTCTGACGAGTTAGAAAGCTCAGGACAGCAAAAATGTTTCGGTGCTCAACCCCTCTTCTTCTTCTTCACTTATGCATACGCCTGAAACTCGAAATTTTGCCTTCATTCGGTAAAATCCTGTCTCATATTTAGAAACGTGTTTGTTTGTGCAAATAAATGCTTTTAAACTAATACGATAATTAGGTGATGTAAGTTCAAATGGCAGATAATTGTGCTCTTTGGATCATTGCACTTGACAAAATACATCACTGAGCTGCAAAAGTTACTTATGTATTGTCATATGGAAAGTGTGACTTTTAACTGGAGTGCTTCCAAGAATTTTTGCTGACATAAAAGTGCAATCTACTGGCAACCTCTAGCTTATCGGCCGTAGTCAGTCAACCATGACTCATTCGCATGCGTCGTCGCACCCCTAACTTTAGTAGGGGTTTGATGAATTACTGTGTATTTCACGTCCAGCGTTATATTCGTTTGAGTCACCGACGGATGAGATCAAGAAGTAGGACTGTTTTGCACTTATCGGCACTGGACATTTTACCCTTACTCTGAATCTCCGGAATCGGGGCTTACAATGGGCGGGCTAACTCAAGAAATGTCAACCAAAATTCCGAAATGCGTTTTCGTCTCGAAAAGATTAATTAAGTTGGGTGGTAAAACTAATCAGCCTGCAGTATAATTCAATACTAATTCAGTTAACTCAGGATGCCGGCTTTTGAACGAACTTCCCCTCGGCTGTATGTAAGACCTACACTCTGTACCAAACAACTAATTAACTAGCATGAATTTTTCTTTTTAATTTTCGATGCCCTTAAAGTTCAATTCTATTTCATTGGAAACATGCATAAAAATATTCATTCATTCGCTCATTCGGTAGACAATTACGTCTTCTTTCAATTTTATACTCGAAGGAAGGACATAATTTTGTTTTAAAAAGGTTTCTAGTTGTGAGACCTTTTAATAACGTGAAATGGCCGTTCATAAACCGTCATGTCTCTGCAGTTACCAATGTAGCTTGTAAAATTAACGATGTGGATTAAATCTAATGCTTAATTTCATGAACCCCATATAATCTCCTCTTAATGCCATAGAGAAATATGTGGTTTTCCGAACACAGGAAATATACGGCTTGTAATTTCGAAAACCTGAATCCAAGTGTAACGGTAGAGCGGGTTCAAAATTACCCGGAAATTGGAAAGGTTTTTGAAAACCAAATTATATTCTTCCTTCGAGTATATAATTGAAAGTAGACGTAATGTTCTTCCGAATGAGCGAAAGTACAAATATTTTTGTGCATGTTTCGCATGATATATGATTGAATGTTTATGGACATCTGTACTGCAAAGACAAATTTACTGGTATACTTGTCTTCCATTCGCCGCTTCATTACAGTTGCAAAAGCTTTTAAGTCTAATCCCGATATGCACATAGACCTGGGGAAATGTAAACGCTGACTAATATTGAGATTGCTAAGGAAACACATTTTTTCTTTCGCTATTGGAGCAATGAATGTTGTCCGAAGAAACTGATAGCGACTTTTCTGTTTCGTTGTAGGAGTGTGTTACATTGATATTTCCTATGTCTATTTTCACGAAGTTTTTAAAGCTAATTTTTTCCCCAATCTGGCTTTTTGAGGCAAAACTCACAACCAAGAAATTATTATGTCTCCAAATTGCCGCAAGAAAACAAGACTAAATCCAAAAGTGGCATCTACTCGCTTGAAGCATATCCATGGGGAGCCAGATAATTGGGATTTTTTTCGCTACGAAAGCCATTTTCCTCGGTCCTTTTACTTCATAGCTTTTGCATCTTTGGCATGAAAATCTTGTCAAAGGTCCCTTAAGGGGAAGCAATTGTTCTTTTCAGGCCTATGGCTATCCGCGAGCACTCGCTGAACGGAGCCGAATTTAACAAAGGAAACTGAACGAGGAGTATAGTCAGTCAATGTCTTGGTGAAGCATTTCATGCATGAACGGGGCCTCCGAAGCCGTGACTGGATCCCTCGCGCCATTCAGAATAGGAGATAGTCACAGGCCTGACTCAACAATCCGCCGGCAAGTAATGTGGCCAACAAAGCCTATGCCCAAACAAGCAATGTTGCCTGCTGTCCACCGACTTCAGTGCAGCCGCAGGATTTACAACTACATTAAGGAAACCAAACGACAAATGCAAAATCGCATTCACGGGCATCAGTTGGTCGTGCGAAGGTTGGACTTAAAGGTGGAGATGGCAAACCATGCCGCGAAAATGGGACATATCCTCAACTTTGACGCCATCGAAGTTACGGACAGAGATGATGGTCGCATGTCGAGGCAGGTGCAAGAAGTCTGGATGTCCACCAACTGCTCTGCCAACCGCCACACCGATTTGCCTCCGCCGTATCAGGCTTTACGAACCTTCTCGACGAAGGACAGTCAGGGCGCGAAACAATCGGCGTGTCACCAATTATCTCCGTGGTCGACGAGGATGGAGACGACACAGGACACGATGAAATGCGAGCCAGATGCGGTTCACGCAAGCGGCATTGCGGACTACACATCAAACAAAACGCGCCGTATAATAGGAGCTGTGCACACGACTATTTTGTCTCTGAGGATGGGCGGACGAACTCGAAACATCAGACCTCTAACGAACCCCACTCCCCCCCCCAGTGAATGTTTCTTCTTGTTTTAACATGCCATCGGGGAATCGTATTTTCACAACTATTTGATATTCCCAGATTGTTTTTAGAACTCGAAAACCTTACTTTACCTTTATTTGTTAACTCTAATTTATACAACTGCTTTAACAAATTTCGGGAGACAAAATCCATCAAATATCTCCTCACTACTAGTGAAATATCCTCATTCTGAAAGCGAAATACGTTATATGCAAAACTACTTAAGTCTACTTCCGAAATATACATAGGCATGATGAAATGCAAACGCTGACTAATGCTGAGACTGCTAAGTAAACGCATTCCCACTTTCGTTAATGGAGCAATTACTTTTGACCGTAGAAAATGCTAACGGCATTTCTGGTGGGTATTTGGGGCCTTTTACAATGAGAGTTCTCTTGTTTATTTTCTTGAAATTGTTAAGACTTAAACTTTTCACGATTTTGGTATCTTGAGACAAAATGCATAAGCAAAAAAATTCCAAAAGTCCCATTATGCCGGACAGAAACAGAACTAGATTTACTTCCGACATTCACTCGGTTGAAGAATATCCATGCAGTTGAAAGCTTTTGCGCTACTAGCCGGTTATTTTACTTCCTATCCGGTTTTTCCCTCTCTAACACGAAAATCGTATCAAAGAACTTTTCAGAGAAAGCGATTGTTTTTCGGGTTTGAAATAGGTTCAGAAACTGTTCAGAAAACCTTCTGGGGTTGATTTGCGCTTCAAAATTCTTATTTCAAAAGCAGTTAACCATAACTAGTACAAGTATCTTAGTGAGTTCCAGCAAAAAAATCAAATTAATTAACCTTCCTTACTACAGAAATTTCCTCATAACGATGGTGAAACACGTCACATTCCTGTATGGAGACTTAGCCTTGCGTCTATATATATATTTCGAAGAAGAATGAGTCCCTTGGGAAAATGAACAAATTTATTTCGTATATTTTGGAGTCTGGTCCCCAGCTCGTCTTCAGACGTGCAGTAAGTGTGAAGAAACAGCCAAAATTTAAACACGCCCAAAAAATCGATATTGCTCTGTAATGGTTGAAAATGGGTTGATGCTGTGAATAATTTCAGAAATTGCTCAGTGCAGGACTTGGAGTTAAATCGCCGGGACATGACTTTTTCGGGTCGGAGCCGAAATTTCAATGAACATTCGAGTCGACGACAAACAACAACTGTTGAATAACCACGTAATGCCCATTCTACAAACAAGTTATATTGCGAGTAGTATGAATTCCATATGGTAAAGGTATTATACCGAACTCTCGAAATAGATACTTGCTAAAAGCTTAGACAAGTGTTAAGTCGATATTCTGCCGCTGCGTGAAACAGCTTCGAGGGGTTAGGCTCTTCAGTGGAACCCCCAGCGCTCTCTATGCGGTTTCTGGTATATGAACTCAAGAGAATAATCAAGTTAATAATTTCAAAGTTACTCAGTGGAGAACTGAGATTTACAGTAGATGTGCTAACTCATGAAATGTCAATCAAAATTTCGAAATGCGCTCTCGTTTCGAAAAGATAAATTAAAAGGTAGTGTAAAACTAACCATGATGCAGCATAAATCTATAATGATCCAGTTAACGCAGGGTGTCAACTTTTGAAAGAACTTATTTTCGGCTGTATGCAAGATCTATACTCTGCAGAAAATGACTACTTAAGTGGTATGCAATGTTTTCATTGATTTTCGATGCCCTTGAAAATTCAATTATATTTCATGGAAAACATGTATAAAAATATTCACTCTTTTACTTATTCGGTAGAATGTCACGTCTTCGTCCAATTCTATACTCAGAAAAGAGTATAATTCAGTTTTTAATCTTTTCTAATTCCCGAATAATTTTGAACCCGACCTGCTGTTACACTTGCATTCAGGGTTTCAAAACTACAAGCTGTATATTTTCCGTGTGCGGAAAACCATGCATTCCTCTACGGTGTTGAGAGGAGACCATATGAGATTTATAAAATAAGCAGTGGATTTAAGCAATATTTTTAACTTTACAAGCCACATTCGTAAATGCAGATACATGACGTTTCATGAAGGCCCATTTAACGGTCTCAGAAAATCTCATAATTAATAGCTCAAATCCACTGCATAATTTTGTGAACTTGATATGGTTTCCTCTTAACACCGTAGAGAAATGCATGGTTTTCCGCACACGGAAAATATGCAGTTTGTAGTTTTGAAACCCTGAATGCAAGTGTAACAGCAGGTCGGGTTCAAAATTATTCAGGAATTAGAAAAGATTAAAAACTGAATTATACTCTTTTCTGAGTATAGAATTGGACGAAGACGTGACATTCTACCGAATAAGTAAAAGAGTGAATATTTTTATACATGTTTTCCATGAAATATAATTGAATTTTCAAGGGCATCGAAAATCAATGAAAACATTGCATACCACTTAAGTAGTCATTTTCTGCAGAGTATAGATCTTGCATACAGCCGAAAATAAGTTCTTTCAAAAGTTGACACCCTGCGTTAACTGGATCATTATAGATTTATGCTGCATCATGGTTAGTTTTACACTACCTTTTAATTTATCTTTTCGAAACGAGAGCGCATTTCGAAATTTTGATTGACATTTCATGAGTTAGCACATCTACTGTACATACGACAGATGGGCGCTCACTGATCAGGTTACAGAACGTGCTCCTTCCTTGGTGTCTTGGGACTCATACTAGAACCTCCGCAGCTTGTCGCACAACGACTACAGGTAGCCGTAACTGAATAGTACTGAAAAAGACAAGGCAAACCGGAATGGCCATTTCTGGCTTATTAGCTGTCATCAGCCAGTCATAGCTAACTCCAGGTGTGGGTCATTTGAGATACGAACCTGAGATTTTTGGGCATTGAGTTGGACACTCTTCCACTGAGCAACGGACCCGCTGTCCTCTCGGTTGATAGGGGATATCGGTTATGACAGATACATATACATATATATGCAGAATAACGCTACGGACAAAGACGAGGGAGACTGGAATTGTGGAACATCTCGGGCTCGTGCCCGCGACCTGCTGATTTGAAGTCCAAAGTCTCTAACCAGCGGGCCACGGGTTCCTTGTCCTGTCAGTTGCGTTTGGGAATATACAGTGGTAGAAGGGCGCATCTGACAGTGCAACGAGCCCGTGGCCCAGTGGTTATAGGCTTTGGACTTATAACCAACAGGTCGCGGGATGAAGCCCCATGTGTTCCATACGCCGGGGAGCGTATCACTGGCTGACGACGGCTCATACGTCAGAAATGCCTATTCCAATCTCCCTTATCTTTGTCGGTAATGTTATTCTGCCCCTACATATATACATGAATTGAAAAACAAGCATCCAAAGAGATTTAACTAGGAAGATGACATTCTTTGGGAAACAGTAAACTTTATTGCATAAATTTTCGAGACTGGTTCCCCAGCTTGTTTTCAGACAACGGGCTTGCAAAAGCATCGGTTTATCACAGAGGTGTATGCAGTGGGTATCCTGCAGTTTGAGAGTAACCACCTTGTCACTCACAAACGGAGTACAGTCTACAGCCTTCTAAATCGAGCCACAACTTACTGCTCTGATGAAACAAGTTACCGAACAGAAAGGAAATCCCTCTACAATCTATTCTCTCAAAATAGGTACCCGCATGATGTATTTCTAAGTATAAGGCACCATAAATTCAAGAAAAAAGGAAGTTCCAATCCTACGGCCGCTCGGACACCAAAACCAACAACCTGGAGAACTACCCCATATAGGCAAGATGTATCAAAACTAGTCGAACTGCATGATACACTTAGCACACCAGCCGGCAAATACCTTATGCACATAGCTTGTGCACCCTAAGTACAGGGTTGGCTACCTCGAAAGAAAAGGTTTTGTATTCAAAATCCCATGTTCCGGTTTTGATTCCGTCTATTGTGGCCAAACTAAAAAATCTGTCTGAGCTCGTTTAAATGAACATCAGTTAGCGGTAAAGAGACGTGATCATTTATCACAGGTGGCTATGCACACACTGGTCACTGGGCACAAATTTGCATGGGAGAACACTCGCATCATTGGCGCCTGCCCAGTAAGTAAGGGCCAAGACTTCCTGGAGGCAATGCACTCAGATGAGGTATGCATCAACCAGCATATCGATCTCGATGCCACAAACAAAATCGTTAAGAACAGAAAGAAACTGACTCAGACAATCCCGAGATGACTTTAACCAATCAAGGGACCCTTTGCCAGACTCGGTCTAGAAGTAAATTGTTTTGCACACCCGTTGTCTGAAGACAAGCTGGAGAACCAGTCTCGAAAATTTACACAACACGGTTTACTGTTTCCCAAAGAATTAAATCTCCCTAAATATATATACATATACATAGGGTAAACCGTATACAGCAAGGCCATTGTTAGGGTTGCCACTAAAATTTCGATCATAGGAAGCGACGAGCTCCATCAGGTGGATTTAACAATTACAAGTGGCGAGTTTGTTTAAAATGAAGCAGACGTGTGATATATCCACCGGTGGCAGGACAAATTCCGGTGACTCTGTAGTGAGAGACCGATCTCATTAAATTTTTACAGAAATTGTGAAATGCGTTTTCGATTAGGTAGGATTACTTAGGTGCGGTTACAATAATGATTATCATGCGACATAATCCTATAATGTTTCCGGCTCGCCAGGATGTGGGCTTTTGAATGCCCGGCTTTCTGACCTCCGGTAGAAACCGCACTCGGTAAGAAATGACTACCTGAGTGGCATGCATTCTTAACGTTGATTTCTGATGGTCATATAAATTCAACTATATTTTATAGAATAGATGCATAAAAATATGCTTACTTTTACTCGATCGGTATAGAAGTACGTTGTCTTTTCATTTTACACCCGAAGAAAGGTATATTTGTCTTTTAAAACGTTTTTACTTATAAGGTCATTAAGACCGTGCATTGTCCATTCGTACAACATCGCATATGCCCGTTTGCCAATGATTCTCATGAGGTGTAGAACATAGTCCGCATCCTTTGCAATATTTTATGAACTATACGTGGTCTGTTTTTAAAGGCATCGAAGAATGTATGATTTTCACCACGTCGAAAAAAAGCACCTTGTTGACTGAAATCGTTAAAAGCTATTGCAACGGCTGATCAAACTAAAAACTATTCGAGCATTGAGAAACTTTTTAAAATCTCAATATACCCTTTCTTCGGGTGTAAAATAAAAAGACAACGTACTTCTCTATCGATCGAGTACAAAGCATATTTTTATGCATGTATTCTATAAAATATAATTGAACTTATATGACCACTAAAAATCAACGTTAAGAATGCATGCCACACAAGTAGTCTTTTCTTACCGAGTGCGGTTTCTACCGGAGGTCAGAAAGAAATGAATTCAAAAGCCGACATCCTGGCAAGTCCGAAAAATTATAGGATTATACCGTATGATAATCATTATTGTAACCGCACTTTAGTAATTCTTCCTAATCAAAGACGCATTTCTGAATTTCGTTCAAAATTTCATGAGATCGATCACTCACTGTAGGTGAGTGTTGGTTTATACTTTTTGCTCATCAACCCGTAATAAGTCGGCCGCTGATGGATTAAAAAGAAAAACATAAACCACCCATCCTTTTGTCATTCCTAATGGACGTTTTGATTAGGAAAATTTGCGAACGTTCAGCAGCTGGACTGCAGTTTTTTTCATGCTGAATACGCGTCCTCATAGTGCCTTCTTAACTAAACTGATGGTCGCTCACCGCAGTGTTCGTGATCCTGGCATGAAAATTTGTGCTGCCCATGTATATCCCGTAAGAAGATATTTATTTGTCGAGCTGGCCGACGAAACCGAGACTGACTACTACTGACCCTAATGGTCATCACATACTCCATTTAGAGAACCACTGGGAAGTCATAAAATATTCAAACAAACTTGTCTTCCGACAGCCATAAAATTGTTCGTTCTGTCGTCCACTACCAGCTGCGTTGGATTTCATTCTGTGCGTATTTCATGAGGAGGGCACGAATCACTGCTGATTGCATTCAGCCTCGGATCTTCCTGAGTTATTCATGGGCATATTGAAGTGGATTCCCATTCCGTAGCAAGGTAGAATAGATTTGGTTTTTCACGAAGGCTAGCTGATTTGACAAATAGTTTTTTCTTATCTTTTAAGATTTCTTTGATGCTTACTGTCTTTTAATTACTGCCTTCACTTATAAATGCACACTGTCAGAAAAATGGGCAGTTTGTTTTTAGATCTGTTTCCGTATCGGGTACCTGGGTTCAATGCTGTGCAGACGAAGGAGCTCAGCAGTAGACGAAAATGCTCATTTCCGGCAGATCAGAGAAAAGCGCTCTAATTTCGGCCGATTTCACTAAACTGATCATGTGCGCGTAGCTGGAATGTCTTATATATACTCACGGATCAACTACGCTGTGCTGTCAGCATGATGTATCATTCAGAATTTGTATTGTATTGCCTTCCTATCCAAAACGTTGTTTTACTAATAAGTTATAACCCGCAAACGCAAGAATTTCGGTGCCGTTGGGGGGAAGGGGAGAAAACGACTCATCATAAAAAACCTCCGATAGACTGAAAATGAAAAGAAGAGGAAGAAGAGAATTCGAAAGATAAGTATCTAATGGCCAATTAAAACCCCGCACTTGACGGTGTGGATGTTTCTTGCAGTCTCTGTGCATTTTCGACAAAGATTAGGAAGATTTGAGCGAGAATTTTCAACTTATTGTCCGATGGACTTCGGCCCACATATTCATACATCAAATTTCGGCCTGCGCCTATAGGCCTTAGAATAAACTGATCTCCTCCAAGTTGACAGTTAATTTCTGAGGAAAGTAAAAACGACAATATATTGACCGTTATCTTCAATCAGTCATATGTCATCCCTAGGCTGAATTCCCGAGAGCTGTCCGTCTAAACATCCTCAGTCAATTATGAGCGAACATGGAATACCTGCTGGAAGCTTGCGAATACTACGCGGTCACTTCGCGGTATTTGGCAGATTTTTGTTCCAACTTTTCATGTCAACCTTCAATGCGAGCCTAAAAAGACTTCTTTCGAAGGATTTTCTTCATTTTCGCACATAAATTCTCAAGTAAATTAAAATGGTCAGCAAGTGAACTGCGGTTAACTCTCTGGAAATCGGTCTGTGGTTGATATATGGCTGGTCAAAGATAACGATCAGTAGGTTAAAATGGTTATTTAAATATCCTTTTACCTTTGTCGATAATGTACAGAGCCCTCATCAATCACCCACATTTCGAGACGCGGGGTTTTAACTGGCTAATAGATACTCATTTTCTATATTCCCTTTTCCCTCCACATTTTCATTCTATCAAGGTTCGTTCAGGTGGAATGTTTTTGCGTCGGTTCACTGCCCGTAAAATGTCGGCGTTTTATGAATTATTACCTATTAGTAAAACGTTTTGGCCAACAAGACAACGCGATGGAATGCAAGAATAGTGAAAGCCATCTGTATAAACATGTCTAAATATTCAAATCAGGGTAGAAGCATGGTATGTAGCCCTTACTGAGATCCTTTTATAATATCATAATTTTTGATTGAGATGATGGACCATAGATGCTACAATGGCAGTATGGCCTTCATTTAATATATCTGTGTATTATTGTGAGGGAGTTATTCCTCTAATAGATTACGAAAAGGGCTGAACACTAAAGCACAGGTAACCTGTGTAATGTATATAAGTATTTAAGTATGAGCCCCAAGGCACAACAGAAGGAGCATGTTCTGTAACCTGATCGGTGAGCGCCCATCTGTCATTATATATATATATATATGAGAAGAAAAGGCGATCTCGGGAACCATAGTTTTACTGTCCTGACGTTTCAAAAGCATACAAGCTTCCATCGTCGGAGGTGGGTGTGATATCGCGCCTCACAGTATTTATAGGTGGCTGACAGTCATGTCAAAACGGGTTTTCTTACATATGAAGTCAGGGCGGCAGGGAGAAGGGGCGGGGGGGGAGTCCAAGAGCGTCTTTTCGCCGGATGAGGGCGTGGTGGATCAGCTTTAGTGGTCATCAGCCGCATGCACACATGAACTGTGGCGAGCTTCTTTTAGCAATATGTATATATATACATGTAGGCAGTATGTTATTACCGACTAAGACAAGGGAGACTGGAATGGCCAATTCTGGCTTATAAGTTGTAGTCAGCCAGTCATACCCAACTCCGAATTGTGGAAGACTCGCGGTTTGATCTCACGACCTGTTAGTTAGAAGTCCACGCCTATAACCACTGGGCCACTTTGTCGGTAATAACATACTGCCTATATATCATGCGGCGCTGCGCGGCCGATGGTTGTGCTCGAGAGAGAGTCCATAAGGCACAACGGAACGAATGACTTCCATAAGAACGATCGGTGAGCGTCCCCTACCAATGTTTATTCCCGATCGAAACCGACAGGGCAACGGGATCGTGGCTCAGTGGTTAGAGGTGTGGACTTCTAACTAACAGATCGCGAGTTCGAACCACGGATGTTGCACACTTCGGGGTTGGGTATGACTGGCTGACGACGGCTAATAAGCCAGAAATGGCCATTCCAGTCTCCCTTGTCTTAGTCGGTAATGTCATTCTGCCTATATCATGCGTTGCTAGTTGGATTTGAGTTAGCCCGTAAGGCCCAACGGGACGAGTGAGTTCCGCGAGAAGGTTTGGTGAGCGCCCCCTACCATTATATATATTTATACTGTTATGTTTATAAACGTCAATCTTTCCTGAGGAAGGAGACACGATCGCCGGGACAAGAGCTTTATTAGCCTGACGTTTCGGATTCCTACTCGAATCCATCATCAGAGACAAAAGAGCAGAAACGGGTGGTTGTTGCACAAGGGGCTGCGGTATTTATAGGATGCAGCAGCCATGCTACCGCATGCCTATGAACGTTCACGGTTTCCCCCTTCATCCGGGATTGTCACACTTGGGGTGATCATTGCTTGATGGCCGACATTCGAGTCGATAATTGCCGCAATTTCATCACGTGCGTTGGATGTTGGCGTGATGATTGCTCGACCATCTGATGCGTTGACCCGGGTGTTGGGACGAGTGTTCAACAGTGCGCTCCCCGCGTGGCCAATTACTCCGCCAATTACTCTTTCCAATACGTCGGAGGTACTTACACGTGTGTCTCACCATGTACCGTGCTGTAGAAGTGCTAGACTAAGACGGAGACCGGATCAGGGCACGGCTTCGGTTAGCTGAGTCGACGTATCCCATGGCAAGTGCTACTCGTGGGTTATTGGCTTCGCGTGAGCCAGCCACTGCGCTCATGAGACAGACAGTGGACTGGTGCATGAGAGGGAGGAAAGAGAGAGAGGGAGAGTAAGGTCGACTCTACGGAATCCATCTCCCGCTCCGCACTTCCAACACACCCTTCACTCTACTAAACCTGGCGCGGTGCAAATAGCTACTTCGCCGAATGCAGACTGTCTACAAAATTCGGCAATACCAGGAAGGGGAGTCAGGCTCAATGACTCCATTTTAATGCGGCCTATATGGCACTCCCACTTAAACAGGACTCGGACAGCCTCTTCCCAAGTTTATATGTATGTCTTCTGCATCGTACTCAAACCAGGTCGTGTCTGGCACGTGTAGAACTGTTTTCGGACACCTCGCATGAGCCCCAATTCGGTTGCCCTATTTTTGGTTTGCCAGTGGGCCCACGTGAATGAGGGGTGAGGTGCGGTAAATGCTGCGGAAGTCACTGTTCTGTGCCTACCGCGTCGTAAGGCCTATGTCATGTATACGCATACAATCACACAATGACTGATCTCATGTCTATACATATATCCACAGAGTGACTGATCTCAAAAAATGTTGGCCGAAGTCCTGAAATGCGTCTTTGTTGAGAAAGGATTACTCAAGTGGGGTTGTAATAGTGGTTCTCTTATGGCATAAGCTCATGATATTTCAAGCACATCAAGATGTCGGCTTTTGAATGCACCTGCAACAAACGCATCCGGCAAAAGACGACTAGTTAAGCAGTGTGCCTTTCTTCCATCAATTTTCGACGCCCCTATAGATTAGAAATATGTTGCTCGTACTTATTTAATAAAAAAATCCCGTCTTCATCAAATGTCATACGCAAGGAGACGGTATATTTCGGTTTAAAAGAAGTTATTAATTTAGTGATTTTCGAAGACCCTGAAGTGTCTATTCGAACAACATCGTGTCTGCCTATTTCATAATGTTCCTCACTAAACAACATATTTTACACCCGTTGTTACATTTCGAGAGCTCCGTATGATATTGTCTTGATGACATATAGAAATGTGTTTTCTTTAAAAGTAAATATACATCTTACAAACTCTAGATTCTTCAAGTAAATGTAACGGCGGATTGATCCCAAAATTATTTGAGAATCTAAAAATTCCTTTTTAAAACCGAAATATGACCCTTTTTAAGCACATAATTTGAAGAGTATATGAAATAGTATCTTGTGGCAGCCAATCGAGAATCAATTGAGAAAATGCAAAGTGTTTAATTGAGTGAGGTTTGGTAGGTGGCTGAAACGTAGTGCATTTTAAACCCCGAATTTCGGTTAGTATGTTGTGAGATCGGCTACTGAGCATACTTTAAAAATGTCCGAAGGCCAGTCGGTCACTTTGGATGCTAATAGACCGTTGCAATTTTGACAGTCCACGCGCATCTGATTATTGTTTTTGAAAGACTATGTATTTGATTCTCCCCAATTTGAGGACCTACAAGTGGTGGCCCTTATAAACTAGAAGATATATAGAATGGCTCCGCGAATTAAAACGGACGAGCATCTATATCCCTGTGCGCATTTGGTAAATAAATTACTGCAAGGTTAAGCATGCCTTTGTCACACAGGAACTTCAAAGTTTTAAAATATGGAACTTACATTTCCACCCTCTCGACCTTTATTCCCCAGGCCTCCGTTGCATCATCAAGAACATTCTACACGGAAAAGGACAAAGCACAAAATGGGTATTCAATCTGCATGAAAAATGACTAATTTTAAGTGAGAGTTAACAGAATTTGCACTTGAACATACATAAGATGTGCTAACTTACAAAATGCTAACCGACATCTTGAAATGCGTTTTTGATTCGAAAAGATTACTTAAGAAGTATTGTAACATCATGAAGCATAATTTTAAAACAATTTTAGCTTTTTTAGGATGTCGGCTTTTGAACGAATGTCTTTTTGGCTGCCTGCAAAAAGCACACATTTAAAAATGACCACTTAAGCAGCAGGAGTTTTTGTTGATTTTCAGTTTACTTATACATTTCAATATTTTCCATGGAACACACATATTAAAATATTCATTTTTTACTGAACTACCACTTGCATACAGGGTTAACAAACTACAAGTTTTTTACTTTTTGTGAACTAAGGACGCAAATTTCTTTACAGTATAAAGAAGAGACCGTAAGGGGTTCATCAAAGGTAGCAGCAGATTTAAGTATATCGTAACATTTACAAACAGCATCAGTAAATGCAGCAACATGAGGTTTTATGAGCAGGAATTCCATTGTCTTAAAAATCCCATAATTTGAAAATTCTTTTAAGTAGAACTATACCTTTGCCTTAAGTAAAAAATTTGAAGTCGTTACTTTAATTACTACCAAATTAGTAAGGGAATTAATGTTTTGGCGCATGTATTCTATGGCACATTTTTGAATTCATAAGGGCATTAACAATTAATTTTAAAAATGCATATTAATTAAATGGTCATTTATGCAGAGCGCTGTTTTTGCAAGCGACCAAATAGACGTTCGTCCAAACGCCGGCATATTGAAGAAACTGGAGCATCATGGAATTACGCTGCATTATGCTTAAGATCATAACTCTACTAAACTGATATTTTCGAGTCCAAAACGCATTTTAGTATTTTGGCCAACAATTCAGCAGTTGGAGCATCTATTGGATGCAAAATTTTTGGATATTTAAATTTCCAGCTTTACCCAGAAGCATCATCCCTGCACAATAAGTGTTCTTCAGGACTTGAAACGTTTCATCTTATCAGAACTTCAGTAAATATGAAACGGGATTACGTCTTCAGGCATTATTTCGGGGACAACGTCGTGTTTTTTCAAAAAAACATGAGGGTTAAATTCTAGTAAAAAGAGAATAAATTTGTTTACAAAAAAACTGTTCGGAGACAACTGGAATCTCAGTTTTTAGATTTCTGTTTTTCTACCTGTCATTTTTTGTAATGAAAATGATATTATGAATCCGCCGGCAGCTACGCCGTGTGAGGCAGACAGACATCAGAGCAACCAGTTTTGAATGCTGATGGTGAACAGCAAAACTATCTGACTGTCGTACTGTGATATCGATTGGGGAGACACAAGAAATATGGACAGCAGTATAGGGCATAGGAATGACACGTCTTGAAATAGGCAGGAGCAGGAGCAGAGTGAAAAATAAGAAGAATAATTCAGGCACCTTTAAATCAGTAGATTAAGGGCTGGTGAAAAGGGCAAGAGCGTAGATGGCGATCGTAACAAAGGCGTTTAGGAATTTTATTGAGGCATATTTCGACATGAAAAAACTTAACAGCATGAATAATTAGTCAGCAAAATGGGACAAATTAAAATGTTTTAGAAACGTAAATCTTGCTGACAGCTTGCCAAACGCGAGGCATCTGCGTTTTCACGAAAGATTGTTTTATAAGACAAGGGAAAATGGGTACCGTGTGAGTTGAACAGGACATCAGGGTAAATGGTGAAACAACATCCCATCCGGCAAATGTTGAACCACGGACCTTTACGGGATATTTTTCAACCACAATCACAAATGCAGGACTAAAGACACATGATGATAGAGTGTTTTTTTGGAACTTCGATGGAAAATTAGTTAAGGAATATAATCCGGGTGCTAAAAATGTACTGTGAATTGGAAATGGTACACCACCAGAGCTATTTTATGTGACTCAAGGTTTCACTCTGGGATGCTAAGAACGCAAAGGCAACTTCTGGCTTATTGGCCGTCATCAGACAGGTTCCAGAAACTAGAGGGGAAAGAGCGAGTTCCGCAACCTGGTCTGTGAGCGCCACACTATCGAAAGCTGTTGGCCGCCTTCTCGCACCACTTGGGGTTGGAGTTGCACATAGACCAGAGGCAACCATCAGGTGTCAGGTAATGAACCCGAAAGACCCGCCGTCACGGCGAGAAACGTCTGGAGTCTTTTAACGGATCTGGTGCAGTTACGGACAAGGCAACTACGTCGGAGAAACCGGAAGACAGCTCCGAACGAGAATGGCCGAAAACGCTTATGGCCCCAAGTCCAGAAACCAGTGCAATGATCTTCCCATTTCCTACTCGGTGCTAAGACTTTGCCTAGGTGGAGTAAATGGCCACACGAGGAGCGCACAGGTGGGCGTTTTTCCCAACACCAGGGTCGGTGGGTCAAGTGGTTGAGCAATCATCACAACAAACTCCAACACACGTGATAAAATTGCAGAAATTAAAGGCGCCAATATCGGTCAACAAACAGTCATCACATCGCAACAACGATCCCTGATGAAGTGGGAGCTGTGAACATTCATAGGTATGCGGTAGCATGGCGACTGCATACTATAAATACTGCAGCCCTTGTGCATAAACCACCCGTATCTGCTTTTGCCTCTGACGATGGGTTCAAGCAGAAATCCGAAACACTAAACTAATAAAGCTCTTGTCTCAGCGATCGTGACTCCTTATTCAAGACTGCTTCCTGGGACTCGTCTTTTCGCTCTATAGGCAAATTGCAGTGTATATCTCCAGCGGTAAATTTAAGGGTTTTCTTCTGGGATTTTATAATGAGCACGAAGTAAGCCATCTTTTTGTGTCTGCGACATAATCCTGTGTTTAGTGCCAATGAATTGAGCCAAGACTTCATTGGTTTTACGCTTTGCCATGCAAGTAGCTGTCGAAAGTGACTCCGAGACCACAACAAAAACTCAGAACTCTAGGTAGTGCCAGAAGTTGGGGTCTTATTTTTGAGGTCGTTCCTCATGCATAAAGACTTTATGTCAGCGCGATCACACTTCCTTTGTAAGAGCAAAGCGTGAAGAAGAGGATTTTAGGAGTCTTATGGTGATTTTAAAACCTCCAGTTGTCAGTAAACCGTCACAGCACACAAACAGTCAAAAGTGACTCCGCCGACAACTGCATTAAATGACAATTCAACCATCGTGGCCGACGATGTCCACCGTGTGCTCAACACGTAGGTGCAGCAGGCACGATGATTTGCGCGTGAATTAGTTCATAGTGATAGTAGACTTGCGAAGCATCTACTGCACCCTCTCCTCCTCACCGGAACCCTGTGTCAAGACAGAGCCAAGAAGACCGGAGACGAGGGAGGACACAGGTGGCTGACGCGACCGGATCCGCACCTGGGCGTTCCACTCCACACTACCTGGCCCAAAACGTACACTTGGCCAGCATTTTTCACCAGCAGCAACAACAACACTCAAGCAGGGGTTAGGAGGACGAGGATTGTGTCTGGGCAGCCGTGACCACCACTTGTGCACACAGCGGGAACGCAAGAGCGTCTACCGGTAGAGAACCAGATGTCAAAGAACTACCAGCGGAGACCAGACTGCGAGAACCACGGGTCGCTGAATAATGGCGTATGAGGCGCCTTAAGGTTTTCGACATGATGCAGGTTGCCAGTGCATTGGCAAAAATACTTATTAAATTCCCCAAGATTATCATTGACCAGAAGGGACAAAAACATAGCCTGAGAGTCCCTTTCTTTGTTGACAAAAAATCTCACACAAAAAGCACAATTTAATCAAACCCGGACAGAAGAACGGCGCCCACAGCTTCTCCGGAGAAGGCATAATTTATGGGTATATGTTGTGTAAAACCTCCTGTCTCTGAAGTCACCGCCAACACGCGTACAACGAACCCTTTGTTTGTTTGGGTTGGGGGTTCTTAAAGGAAAATGTTCAAACATTTCTTAGGCCGTTTAAATTTTTTGCTTATCAGAGGGCTGCTGATAGAAGCGAACAGGCGAGTTCCAGGTAGCAGTTCAGAAGATGAAGATGCGATCACTGGGACAAGAAGTTTATTTGCCTGACGTTTCGGATTCTCACTCGAACCCATCATCAGAGACATTCGCAGATAGAGGTGAAGGTGGCACCAGGAGTGCAGTATTTATAGCACGTGGCTGCGTGGGACCGTATGCGCACTGCAATTAACAGTTCTCACAATCGCGGCTGGGGTCGTAATTGATGCGGCGGTGGCTTGGCGGTCCGAGTCCGAGTTGTTAATCGCCGCGATTTCGTCATCCGTGCTCGATGCTGGTGTGACGATTGCTCGGAAAACTGGCTCACTGTCACCGTGATAATTGCTCACCCGCGCCCTCCCCACGTGACTGATTCTCCTGCCCAGGGAAAATCGCAATACGGAATAGGTCACCGGGAGGTCATTGTGTTTGTTGATGGATTGCGGGCCTGAGAACCATGACTCGAGCAGCTCGCGGCTCACGCGGTTGTCACCCCTGTCACCCCTATTCCGTATTGCGATTTTCCCTGGGCAGGAGAATCAGTCACGTGGGGAGGGCGCGGGTGAGCAATTATCACGGTGACAGTGAGCCAGTTTTCCGAGCAATCGTCACACCAGCATCGAGCACGGATGACGAAATCGCGGCGATTAACAACTCGGACTCGGACCGCCAAGCCACCGCCGCATCAATTACGACCCCAGCCGCGATTGTGAGAACTGTTAATTGCAGTGCGCATACGGTCCCACGCAGCCACGTGCTATAAATACTGCACTCCTGGTGCCACCTTCACCTCTATCTGCGAATGTCTCTGATGATGGGTTCGAGTGAGAATCCGAAACGTCAGGCAAATAAACTTCTTGTCCCAGTGATCGCATCTTCATCTTCTATCACAGGACTCCTCGTCTCAGACTGAAATTTATGACCATGTCAAATAACGCGATATGGACAAATTATGCAAGGCTACTGAGGAAGCTTACATAAAGGTTTTTTGGCAAAGGCAGAAACGTCGTGCTTACGTTTATTGTCGTTAATCTTAGAGTGAGTTAAACCACATTTTTCGATGAGTTGGGCACGCGTGTCTTGCCCGCAAGAACTATTCAGTTCCCAGTCGGCTTCTTGCTTTTAAAGTAAATGCCTGGTTAAATAAAAAAAACCAAAGTCTCCAGCAGGTTTATTTTGTCGGCCGACATGATGCGAGCCCACTGCTGAATGACCAACTGCCTCGCGCTTCAAGCCTTTGCTTTGGTGTCCGAAATTGAGGTCGAAAACTTAGTTAGAACTGACTACCACGAAGTCTCTGTTTTTAATCGAAAAAAGAACTCCTTAAGCGTATTCTACATTCCAAACGCAGAATGTATAAATTGTTTAAAAAATCCGTTTTCGCGTATGTACTAAGAAACCTCAGAAAACTACTCCACGTTCTTGTCTGTATTCGCTGTTTACTTCCGTAAGGGAATAAGTTATAGCAGCAGGATTTCCAACATCACAACCACATATTGAGACTTTTAAATGCCCTTTCAATTTGATATGAGTGACTTATTGGGGATGACGAATGTAATAACGGGGACCATACAAATAAATTGCTAACTGCATTCTGACTAACCAAGTTACCAGATATCTGCCCAAATGGCACAAGAATGAGGTTTGCTACCAATTAAATATTTATCCATTTTGTCTCTTTCCCTGATTGTTTCGGTTTTTAATTTTGTTTTACACGAATTTCTACTTTACCTGCTAACTTTATGGGGACTTTAATTCCTAGGTAGTTTGTACCTGAAAGAGGGAGGCATCTCGATTTGTAACAAGAAAGTGTAACTCTGAGAATTCTTAAGGCCTGCGTCATCGTCTAGAGTTTCTCAAAGGGCATACCAACTCACCCATATATATTACGATATTAATTTACCAAAAGCGGGCTTTTTATATTTTTAATTTTCAACTTCTAAAATGGGTAAAAATGCATGTTTCTTTTAAAAAACGGTAGTTCTAAAACCTGCAATTGAATTGACGCCTGCAAAATGAAAACCTGTCAAAAATCCCCGCGGATCATAAGTGCTTTCGGTTAAAATTTACTTTATTCGAGCACGCGACAGTGTGCCTATTCAAAAGACTGCATGCTACTGCGTAGCAATTGGTCTACGATGCTGTTCCTTGACGATCAGTACTGCAAAATTACCTAAGAAATTTCCCCCATGTTGGATCGAAAACGTTAACTCGGTAATCGGCAGTTATGGATGGGGCTGGCATTTCCGGCAATTTTGTGATCATTAACTCGTGACTAGCTAGCACCAGTGCACGGAGCATCCGAAGTTTGATTGCGAACAGTTCGGTCATCGTAGCCGACGATATCCACCGGGTGCTCCACAACAAGTTGTCGCATGGCGACCTGTGCGTTAATTCGTTTACTGTGGGAATGGGCTTACGCAGTATCTGACGCACTATCTCCTTCCTACCTGAACCCACTGTCAAGACATAGTCAGGAAGACCGGATGCGGAAGAGGCTGCAAATGGATGGGACGGCCGAGTTCGCAGGTTGACACACCACCCCACCCAGGATTTTGACCAACAACAAAAGAGGGAACGGGAAATTAGACTTGCTCTGCATCTACCGCACTCTCTCCTCCTCAGTGGGCACCGTGTCAAGACAGAGTCGAGAAGACCGGAGGCGAGAGAGGATGAAAGTTTATGGCGCGGCCGGACCCATACCTAAGCGTGCCGCCGCGCCCCTGTTTCATAAGAAACCACAATTCGACCAGGATTTTGACCAGCAACAGAAATGGGTCTGAAATAGAGTGATAGTGCTCTTTACTGGGCAGCCATGCATTCACTGCCTGAGAACTGCAGAAGCACATAAGGCTGCGAGTTCTATGGTTTGCTGAATCATGGCATAGCAGACGTAGAACGGCCAAGTGGAAAATACTCACTTGCCTGGAAGTAAAGTATAAAAAACCAATTAAAAACGGACGCTTAGGCATTGCTTCTGGGCCGATTCCACACTTTATACAGGCGGTAGTCAAAATTGGGTTGAGCGTTTTCAACGTGTTAGGCCTCACCAGCAGGATTCGAGTAACATACTCAAACAATTGAACAGGGTTCATCTAATGCGCTACGGTCCCGTTTTCTGTCGACTAAGATAGGGGATATTCAGTCACATAGGGGTTGCGTGTGCCTATTACTTTTGATTGCAATGCAGAATAAGATCGGCTCTGTGTCGCGCTGGAGCCGATGGTCAGTGGTCCACACAGACTCCGGTTGATAATGACTTTACTTCCTATTATTCAAATTAGCATCATAAGGCCTTTTTGTTGTTTGTTAGTGAAGGCAAGTTTTCACTCGGCAGTCAAGCGAAAAGTATTTACTGTTTTTGAAGTATAAAAATTTTCAACCTTTGAAAATTCTGTGTTCCAAAATCTCATAACTACTTATTGTATGCTGGCCACCTCGCGACTGCTTTTTAAACTTAACAGGATGTTATCTAGGAATAATAGTTTTTTTCATCTTTTATACTAGTCTACCACACCCCATCAACATATGCTATTTGACAGTGAGGAGTGGGAGGATTGCTGAATTCTAAGTAGTAATTGCAGTGAAAGCGAAAGTTCGAATTCCAGGTGTATGTATAAATGAAGAAGGGCAGTTGAGCACCAGAACTTTTTGTTTATTGTCCTGAGATTGTGAGTTCGTGCGGGAAACCCTCGTCAGAGATAGCAACAGAACAGGCGACAGTTATGGGGTGTGTAAGCCAATCATCGACCGACGGCTCAAGACTAGAGGTGGCTGCACAGGGCTCTGTACGCCGGCGTCAGATCGATAAATCAAGTGACTGAGTTCTCATCCGAGGCCCAGGCTTCAATCAATTCTTGGCCAGTTTTGCTTCCGGCGTGGGGGCCTATTTTCGTGGTTGCAAAATCAAACTCATGACGTTTTTCGTATGCGTGGGTGGCCACTTGTAATAATGCGCCGCCTCGTCACACAGCCAGCGTATGTTCGTGTATGCGCGATCCGAGCATGTGTCCAGTTTGGCCTGCGTAGTTACAGGGACAGTTTTGGCACGGGATGCAATACACTACTTCAGATTGCTCCTCAGACCTTGACCGGTCTTTAATTATCATGACCCTACTGCGCATGGTGGCTTTGGGTGGTTTGCGATTCCAACAGCTAGCTCCGCAGCAATGCGCCCACTTGCTTCTGAAACGTCCTTGATGTATGGCAGAGAATGCCGTATCATCGGTAGTATTAATGTTTGGGTCGTTTGGAGGGCAAACGCGTAGAAAACGACTTATGAATGCATTCGGGTAGTCATTTTGCACAAACTGGTCACGGAGATAACGGGCCTCACATGTTCTTTCCTCCGTTTTGTTGCAATGAGTTTGGATCCGTTTGAAGAGTGCCTTCACACAGCTTCGTTTGTGAGCCTTTCTATAAACTATCGTTTCCAGTTCACCGGTAAGATTTCGTCTGACAATCACATCCCGGAAGGACAACTGCTGTTTCCGTTCATCTTCCTCCGCGAATTTTATATCAGGGAATACTGCGTTGAGCAGGCTGTGGAAATGTTGCAGCATGTCCTTCTTTACAATGACTAACGTTTCGTCTACGTAACGGCGCCAGTACAGTATTTTCAAGATTTAGTTTGCCTCCAAGGCGGTTAATTAGGGAATCGATTGAGAGGAACAGGGTAAGGAACATCGGTTTTAAGTCTCTGAACATACTATTTAGCGATTACTGATCACTGGTTACCATTGGGCCGGCTTGTCGGCTAGCGATCTAGAACTGCAATCAGGACAGGAAACTGAACTGCATTTTCTTGTGTTATTCGTTTAATTGTCCAAATTCCTTCTCAAAAGTCATTTCTTAAATCCGGCGATGGGTCAGAGACTGACAGTATCGAAACTCTAGAAAACGTTCAACGTAAAAAGATGGTTTCGCAGTGACATCGCCGTCTAATCCTTCTCATTCGAAGCAGTCATTCCGCTTAACATCGCATATCACCATCAGAATAAGTAAGAAATTGCGCAGCTGCTCACTTGCATGGAAGCACTTATTATATCCCTTTCAGACAGTATTTCCGAAAGCCGCTTTGTGCCAAGAACGTTGCGAAGGGTAGTCTGAGCAAGTAGGCGTGTCGAATGATGAGCATTCTCCACATTTGCCACAGAAACCATCGCGTCCGAGACTTTGTAATAGATAACAGCGTCAACCGAGACGGTGACCGAATCCTTTGTCAGTATCTAAAGGAAAGGTAGATTATCAGAAGCTGAACACTTTTCAAGAAAGACATTGCAAAAGACAGCGAGCGTTAGGTTTAAGACTTGATGAACGCAAAATTAGAAGGAGGGCTTTTATTTTTCGACACTTGAAAAGTTGCTCAGCCCATTGTTGCAACAACTTATGCACATCTTCCAAGTAATACGGCAACAAAATTGCTTTTCCAAAATAGAATATTTATAATACGAAGTGAATAGTAGTATCTCATCTACAGTGAGTGTGTTATTACAAGCCGACGATACTGCTACAGCCTTGACGTCTACGGATATTTTAATCCCGTTCACCATCCCCAAAAGAAGACGAAGAATAAAAAGGGACGATTGCATGGACCACAGTGTATTAGTGCTGACGTTTCGCAAACTTCCTCGTTTCCATCATCAGAGTGGTGGGGTGTCTGTTCCTGCTTGCTCGAAGTTGTTCTGCCTCGCCGCCTGTCTTGTGTTATAGGCATGCCTGACGCACGAACTCTGACCTGCCTTCTGGCTAGGGATTGGTTTTGGTCCCTCCGCGGGCGGCCGATGGCGCGCTCCTGTGACCTCTGTCCCCCTGATCGGCTGTCGTAATCGTTGCAAATTCCTGTGTGCCCATGGGCCCTCACCTCATAATCGGATGGACTGATCAGTTGCCGTTGCATGTGCGAATCACGCTCGGCTGTCTGGGCGCGCCGCTGGGGCGGTCTCGCGTTCGTCGTGTGACCTCCGGCTGGCTTTTTCCCCCTGCTGTGAAGGTGACAACTGCTGGAGGAGCCGCGACTCGCTCGCCAGTACTGTCGGCCCCGTCTGGACTGACTGGAGTCTTGTACGCAGCGCATGGTAGGCCGGATGAAGATCGATAGCCCTGTTGATTGTGCCAACTGAGGACCAGCTTTCGAGCACCAGCCTAGCCATCTTGTCATGGGCTCGACCAAGGGCGCTTGCTTCCCCAAAGGCGTAACTATGTTTCTCCTGTTGCCTGTGGCCATATACCAGTGACAGTTTATCCTCTCAGTTGACTGCAAGCTGGTGCTCATGCAGTTCTGTGCAGAGATGTTTCCCCGGAGGTCACACGACCAACTCGAGACATCGCCCCAGCGGCGCGCCCAGACAGCCGAGCGTGATTCGCACATGCAACGGCAACTGATCAGTCCATCCGATTATGAGGTGAGGGCCCATGGGCACACAGGATTTGCAACGATTACGACAGCCGATCAGGGGGACAGAGGTCACAGGAGCGCGCCATCGGCCGCCCGCGGAGGGACCAAAACCAATCCCTAGCCAGAAGGCAGGTCAGAGTTCGTGCGTCAGGCATGCCTATAACACAAGACAGGCGGCGAGGCAGAACAACTTCGAGCAAGCAGGAACAGACACCCCACCACTCTGATGATGGAAACGAGGAAGTTTGCGAAACGTCAGCACTAATACACTGTGGTCCATGCAATCGTCCCTTTTTATTCTTCGTCTTCTTATGGGGATGATGAACGGGATAATTTATCAGGACCTCGAATCTTTACTCATGTGGATATTTTAATGTATATTTACATTAATCATTGTCCATCCTAGTTTCCGAACTCGATTCCGCCGACTTCGAACTCGTAAACAACCGCCTAGGTTCGTTTTCAACTCCTTAGGATATCACTGCCAGTCGCATGGCAGAGAATCTCTGATAGCCGGTTGATGCTCATTACAAAGATCAATAGGACCAAAAGCACCATTGAAGGCAAACAAGTATGACCATTTTGGCCCGTTTATCATGGTTGTTTGAGAAGTCTCGCGTCAGCAATCTGCCACCGCGCCTCATTGGTTGCTACACAGTCACAGATATTACCAGTCAGAACCGCGGGTGATAACAGTATTTGCAATCACAGCCACTAGCCTTGTCCTAAATCTCGTTTCATGAGATGAGTTCTTTTATTAATTGCAGCATTATCATTACAAGTGTCATAGCCTGACTGTTGGATTTTCAATCGCGTCTACGAAATTTGCCCATAGTGTGGCAGCTTTAACCATAATAACCATGATGCATTTTCGTCACCGGTAAAGCTGTGGATGTCTGAAGACGTCGAGCTTTTAAAGAAACTGACAGCACATCTTCGACTGTGCTCTCGTTCATGTGGACTGCCGTCGACAGCCGATGACCTCCCTGTAGTTCGTTTAAAACAACTCCAGCCCAGGGTCCACTAAACATCAATCCGTTTCATATGTGTATCATATGGCGACCGAATGACAGCGATGTAAAAGGAGAATTAAAAGCCCGTCGGTCGACAAAACTTTCTTTTAGAAACAAAGTTACTCTGCTTCACTGAGCATCACCGTAGTTTTGGTAGACCACAAAATTCCGTGTTTGTTTAAACTGAGAATATCCTGGAAAAAAAGACATTTCATCAAAGCACTCTCCTCCTTCCAGTCTAACACCGTAGTTAATTAACTGGTTTTTGTTTACATAGGTCAGAGTCGTTTAGATAACGTGAGACCTGTTTTCTGGACATGCGTTTTAGCTGAAATATTATGCCCTACATTCGGCAGCTATGGATTCTTCTGAAACCCACAACCAAAGTGCTCAGTTTATATCGAAATTTTCACAGTCGTAGGAACGGTCTCATCCTTGCTTATTAAACTCCGGTACTCTTGTGAATATAATTAGCTTCCATTAGGTGAGCATTCGTTAACGAACTAAGGGCTCAAACCGTCGAAAATGGAATTGCACAAATAAGAGAAGAGTGGAGGTAATTTGCTAAGTGCTAATCATTGCAAACAGACAGTCACCGCGATTTTTACCTTCCAACATTCCAAGATTCCACTGAAAGCTTTAAAAGCCCTAGCCGCAAAACTTGACAACAAAGTAATTTGAAGACGATAGCAAGGAGTTTATTCGTGCAATAACTCCCAGTTTTACTTAAAAAAGCATATCTTATCAGATGAAAATGTCAATTATTTAGAACTTACCTCTTGAGGAGGAACATCGAACGTTATCGTGCGAAGATCCACAAGGAAAAACTCCTCGACACAGGGCAGACATAGAAATATCCCTTCATGGTAGAAAATAAAAAGAAAATCTTAAGTTAATCGCAAAGAAAAACTGTTTGGGGGCAAGACTTGGCCGCCACTTTTACGGGCAGTGACCAGCTGAATGTAATTGCATACCGGAAGCCATTCGCATTAATTCGTGTGAGGCCGACAAACTTCATGTTGTCTTCAAGAACATGCGTTATAGGAGGATAATTTGGTCAGATAAAGAGTTTTTTGATTTTTTAATAGAACAAGTCATTGAGCATGCTATCCCAAAACAGACTAAAAATGCATACAGTGCGTAACCGATCTCATAAAATGTTCGCCAAAATTCCGAAATGCCTTTTCAATTAGGAAGAATTACCTAGGTGGGTTTGTAGTACTGATTATCACGGGGCATAATCCTATAAAATTTCGAATGTCGACTTTTGAATGAACCTCGTTTTGACCTCCTGCAGAAACCAAACTCGGTTATAAGAGACCACTTAATTGACATACATTTTTCACATTGGTTTTCGATGGTCATATAAATTCAAACACATTTTATAAAAAGCATGCGCGAAAATATGCCTTCTTTTAATCTTTTGATAAAACACCAAATTTATATGCATTTTATGCCCTGACAAAGGTTATCAATCAATTTTAAAAAGGTTTCCAGGTAACAATCGGAAGACGGCACCCAAAAATTCCGTTACCTAGAAATAATACCTTTAACAGTAGACACAAACGCCTTCAGGCTATATCAGCGGTTGCACTACTTGGACTTTCCGCGACGGCCTAACATGGACTGGCCGAAAGAACATCGCAGGATGTTGCATGGACGTTGGTCGCTGTTACCCAACCTTCCCCATCGTTACACACGTACACCTGAATATACGGCATACATTCGCATTATGGCAGTTTATTACAAAACAAAATCACTTTTAAATAGGATAAGTCTGCACAACACGGGACAGGAACAGTTCCCAGGCATTTGTCAAGGACATGGCATTGAGGCCAAACCAAAGACGATACTGTACTTCGTCTATGTGAGCCCACACTGCTCGACCACATACAGGGCCTCCCTCGTGGAGTTTCCTTTTCAGTCTACTCTGTTAACCACTCAAAGAACCTTAAGGACCCTACCACCTGACGGCACACCAATGTCATTGAGGCATACTGGAGTAGACTGAAAAGGAAACTCCACGAGGGAGGCCCTGTATGTGGTCGAGCAGTGTGGGCTCACATAGACGAAGTACAGTATCGTCTTTGGTTTGGCCTCAATGCCATGTCCTTGACAAATGCCTGGGAACTGTTCCTGTCCCGTGTTGTGCAGACTTATCCTATTTAAAAGTGATTTTGTTTTGTAATAAACTGCCATAATGCGAATGTATACCTGAATATACGGCATACATTCGCATTATGGCAGTTTATTACAAAACAAAATCACTTTTAAATGTAGATAACCTCCTGAGGGAAGACGATTATACGCCTTCCACTCGTCCGTTACCACTATACTGCTTTGGCGACCCATTTTGTAATAACGGAACGGAGAGCGGGCCACCTTCAATCATTCATCTGTTCAAATAAGCCTTTCCGTCGGCTAATATCGCAAATCCCGACCAGCCACCATCCATAAAACCCCTATTACCACCTGTCCCGTAAGACAGGCTGCTTTGGTTAGGCGGATTTTTTGGGTGCCATCTCCCGATTGTTACCGGTTTCCAATTATGACAGTTTTAAGAGCGCGCGATTTCCTATTAATGCTCCTCATGAGATGTACAACATAGTCCACATCCATTGCCAAGTTTTGTAAACTCCATGTGACTTTTCGTACACGGAAATCATGCACCTTACAGACTGAAATAAACAAGCGCTAATGCAGCTGCTGATCTGGCTCAAAATTATTTGGTAATTGGAAAACTTTTTCAAAACCTAAATATACATTTTCTTAGGGTATCAAATGTAAAGAAAATATGCCCATTAACAAAGGACAAAGAGAAAGCACATTTTGCGCATGATTTCTATAAAATATGTTTTAATTTATGTGACTGTCGAAACTCAATGCAAAAATGTATGTTAAATAAGTAGTCTTTTTTTACCAAGTTCGGTTTTTGTAGAAGGTCGAAAAGAAGTGCATTCAAACGCCGACATCCTGGCAAGTTCGAAATACTATAGGTCTGTGCTTCAAGAAAACCAGTCTTACAACCCACCTCAGTAATCCTTCCTAATCGAAAACGCATTTGAAAATTTTCGCAAACATCTCAATACGCACTGTATATCCTAATCATGTGTTGCGCACTCTCTGAAAAAGTTTCGTTTCTATAGAGACATAACTACCCATCAACACAAATAAAGAATTAGAAAATTCCAGATTTGCTTGGCTAGGCAGCTAGTCTGCTATCTCAGGTCAGAATTATACCCAGGGGGAATGAAGACGTTAAACTGACGGTTGACTGACGCTGTCTCTTCTTCCTTTGCAGAGGACGCACTCTTAACGAAGCAGACAGTTAATTGAACTGCTTGCCAAGGCGTTTGCAGCAGTATATTTTTGAAAAATCGGTCCTTGTATACAGTTAGTGACCGAACTCGGTAATGCTAACGGAACCTCTCAACTGCGCTCGGCAAAAAAGGACTGCGTGAGCAGCATGCATTTGTTTTCTACTGACTTTGACGCACTTATTAATTCTGAGACATTTCACAGGAAATGTGCAAAAAGCGCTCATTTCTATGCCTCTTCAATAGCAAATCACGACTGTGTTGAATTCGTGCTCGAAAGAATGATGTTTTTAATTTTAAGACATTTTTGCATATGAGGTCTTTAAAACATGAAACGTCCATTCATACATTATCGTATCTACAAACGTAGCAATGGCGCTTAGGAATTATACGTTACAGTCTAACTTGACTGTAAAATATACAAAGGTTATCATATTAATTGCATAGAAGCATGTGTGATTTTTATCATACGGAAGACATATGGTTTGTGAACTGAAATTCTGTACGCAGATACAAAAGCAGTTAGAACTTTAAATAATTCAGGAGCTAAAAAACTCTAAAACCGCAAGTCTCCCTTCCTTCGACTATCTTACTTGAAGAAGATGTGATTTGCTGCCAAAAAAAGTACATAAATGAATATTTTGTGCATGGTTTCCATAAAATATATTTGAGTTGACAAGCGCACTAAAATCAGTAACAAAAATGCCTACTAATCAATCAGTCGCTTTTAACCAAGTGCGAATTTAAGGCGGTCGAGGAGAATTGCTTTCATAGGCCATCATTTTGGTGTGTCCAAAATATCCCAGGATTATGTCACGCAGTAATCAATATTGCATCTCCATTTAGGCAAGCTTTTCTTACTCGAAATCGTAGTTCAGAGTTTTTATTAACATTTTTACGAGGCAAGTCACCGACCGTACGCAGAACAGCTGTGGAAGAAGTCGGGGACCTTAAATCGTCCGAGGTAAACCGATAGCCGCGCCCTTGTTTACAGTCTATTACATTTATGCATATCAAAGGTTTTGGCATCAGTTTTAAGCTGCCATCAGTCTTTACGGCCCTTTTGTGAGTTTATGTCCAATAACGCGAACGCAAATTTGCTAAATCGATACAGTCGACATAAATGAAGAGACATTTGGGATTACTAAGTCAAGAACCATATTTCTTCGACTGCGTAAGAGTATTTTGGCACTTAGGGGAAACAGTATGGCCCGGCTGAGAGCGTGACAGAAGTTTTCCGAACGGACCGACCCGATTTGGATGGCATACTTAGCGGACAGCGTTCTGGGCCGACAGCATCTGTGGCCGCGCCCAAATGCTGCCAGGCAGTTGACGAAAAAGGCAGAAAAGGAGAAAAATAGGAACGAAAACGTAAGAGAGATCCATCTACTACATCTCTGTGATGTACTGCCGAAAAATTGACATGAGCAGTGATCATGCGTCCAAGGGGACTTGTAGTATGCGAGGGTAATAGAAGTCTGTGTTTCGATAAATTTCATTTACCAGCTCCCTATTCCAAAACACGCAGATGGCGTTAAGCATCCTTGACTTGCAATTTTTGAAGTTTAGCTACACATTCGCGCAATCTGGGCACCCAGAAGGACATCACCCTAAGAAGGTTGCAATGAAATAATATTGAAAGTCAAGTTGGCAAACACGTGTTTTCGGTAATTCTTCGTCATGCCAGTACAGTTATGTAAAGGAATGAAAATGTTCAAATTAACAGTGTTTATAGGTGTCTCAAGGGCTATTAAGTCATTAACGCTCATCTTCCCCACGCCGCCCGCATGACGAGTTTGGCGGGTTTTGGGCATTGCCAACCTCGTCATGCGGGCGGCGTGGAGGAGATGAGTGTTAATGACTTAATAGCCCTTTAGCGACCTATAAGCACTGTTAATTTGAACATTTTCATTCCTTTACGTAACTGTACTGGCCTGACAAAGGATTACCGAAAACCCGTGTTTGCCAACTTGACTTTTCAAGTGTAACATGGGAATATTTGCGAAAATAATATTAGTTCAGCGATCATACAAACTCCCATTTTCCTGCATCTGATTTTACTTTTAAAATTTTTAGCAAATGAAGTGCATTTATTTTGTAAGCTAACTATTATTTACTGCCACCGAAAGAGTGGGTCGTCTAACTTTAACTAGAAGTGTTTTCATAAATTTTGGAAATTCATAATTACTTGATTTAATATGGGCATAGGTAGAATTAATGCACACCTTTTTAAGAAATTTTTTGGAGCTGCCGAGAGAATTTAAGTTCAATTAAGTTTGAAGTTAGGCATTTTCGGCATGGGTGCTTAACTTAGCCCAAATGGTTTTACAACCCTAGTTTGATAAAATGAATATATACATATATATATCACGCGTCCCTAGCATAAGTAATTTATATTCTCTTGTAAGAAAATTGCGTCTTCAGACAAAAGGAGAGCATTCGGGGTTTTAATGAGATTTTTATACCTGGTCCTTTCATACTGCCGTCCATTACGCGACCAAGCCTGAAAATGACAGCACGTTCGTACTCCTGTACTACCTGAATGTTGCAAAAGATAAAAGAAGCCGACAAAGAAATTGCAAGCTGGGAGTGCACATTATTCACATCAAAATTTATCTTTGCAAAAACAAAAGAAAAACTGCCTGGGACTGAAATGAAATTGTTATACGACTTTATTTAAAACCCAACTAGCCATACTTTGTAGAATTTAATGCAGGCATAAAAAGCAGAATTTATTGGAACCAGTAAATTTCGCGACGGCTTATCAACTGCAGCCTGTCGTTGCATAACACAGATAACTTCAAAACGCAACACAGGAAGAAATGGAAAAGTTAACACGCCGAGGGGTTCCGTAAATCGAATGGGCTCAGATCTACCAGTGCGAGCTGAAATTGACCACGTGGTCTATCTTTTTACACATAACTTGTAGAAACAGTTTCCATTGTGACTTGAGCGCCGCATGTGAAAGTGCATTGGCTGCGGTATTTCCCCTTTCGGTTTAGGAGAAACTGAATTTTATTTAAGTTTATTTATTTGAATGGCTCATTTTTGAAAAGCTTGGCGAACTGCTTGGTGTTCAGACTTACGACGCTAAAGGCGAGGCTTAAAACAGTCAACGCCCTAGCACCCTGGACTACAAGGCCTTGTCTGGCACTACCATCTTTATTTATAACTGGGTCTCTTTAATTAATTCAAAGCTGCCAAAACGCCTATTAAATTTATCTCTGGTTCCTGTTTCAAACTACAGAGTACAAAGGATTTAGAAAAATTTGCGGTCCATCAGAAAAATTAGACAGACGGAAGCGTCTAATGTTCTCAGTAAGTCATTTTGTAGAAAAGCACCTTCGTGATCTATTTCAAATCCTAAAGTATTCTTGGAAGATAGTTGGCCTCTTTTTGCGGAATTCGTAAGCGCGTGAATCTGTTACAACTTGTGACGGAAGTCGGACTAACATTTCGTCTGGCCCCTTACATTTCGACAAAATCCCATTTGTTTGAAGACGTCTTACCATTTTACTGATAGCCCACAATGACTAGTTATCTCGTTAAAATGTGACGGCCTACGACTGCTACTCGTCGGTATAATTATTATAAGCTAAGGCAATAAAGCATTCCAAGATTCTGTACGAGACGTTATTTGAGAAAATAGGTTATCACGAATAGATGCCTTCGTTCGGGGCTTACCTTTAGACAAATGAAGACTGATACCGGAAGAAACAGAACGAACAGTAGGTAGGACATAACATACAGAGCCTGCTCGCACATTTTGGAGGCGATTTTTTTGTCACAAGCCATTTCTATAAACCCATAAAAGAGCACAATTATTTTTTCGTATCAAGACATGCATAACCCATCACTTTTAAAAGTTGCGCAAATGTTTAACTGAAATATGCACACGCTTCGGATAAAATTAACAGTTAAAAAATTATATGCAATTTTTAATCGAAACACGCACGATGATTTACAAGCGGCATACCATCAGCTTTAAAATCCACCTAAGCCTTCAAGAGGTAGGCTGCGCTCTTCATTAAGCAAAAATTACCCTGAGACATAGTTGTCAAATGCGACCCAATGAACTTGCATGCATTTCTAATCCTTCTGATTGGCTGGCAAAATTGTGCCAGAAATTTGCCCATTCCGCAAGCGGGATTTCATAGGTCAGCCTTCTCAGAAAGTCGCGCAAAACGCTGTCATAAAGCATATGCATATTTAAAGCAGATATTTCGTTTCAGAAATAACGTATTAAGTCTGTACAAAAATCCAATAATCAATTATGGATCTGCCGACTTTTTATTTTTAAATTCCGTAGAAACGTCGTAAAACGAATGAACCAGCTGCAATTTTTGAATTAGCCATCTTGTTCCAGAAGTTGCCAAATCGTTAAATTTTGCAAGTCATTTTTGTGCAAGTGGCTGATTGGTCAAAAATGCGGCGATTACTCGTTTATGCTTATCACAATTTCTTCTTAACAAATCCAAAAGGCAAGATAATGGGTATCTACACCAGGACAATGCGAAACAGATAGGATGATGCCGCCTTATATGGTGTGCATAAACACATCCGCGAGGCCATGAAGTTATGAGCTCAGTCACAGACCTTAAATGCCTTCAAAGCCTTTACTGATGCCTGCGCGATGACTGACACTTGTAGAGGGCCTTCAAGCTTTACAAAACGAAGCAGATTTCCGAAGCCATTCACACGCAGCGATTCGGAACTCCGCATGAGTCATTTTTCAGATAGAGGAATTGACGCAGTGGTCATGTCTTCATGAACCACTTCTACCTCATGAAATGTTGGCCGAAATTCTGAAAGGCGTTTCTGATTAGGCAGAAGTACTTAAGTGGGGTTGTTGTACTGATTAACATGCAGCATAACCCTATACCATTTCGGACTGGCTAGTACGTCGGCCTTTGAACGCACTTCTTTTCGACCTCCTGTAGAAACCTTACTCGTTAAAAATGTCTACTTAAATAGCATGCATTTGTCCTATTGATTATCGATTGTCTTTTAAATTCAAGCACATTTTATACAGAACATGCAAAAAAGTATGCTATCTTTTGCCCATTTGGTAGGAAATCACATTGTCTTCATAGCTTATGCCCGAAGAAAGTGTATATTTTGGTTTCAAAAAAGTTTCAAATTATGAGATTTTTGAGACCGTGCGATGTCCATGCATGCAAGACCGCACATGTACGTTTATTAATGCTCCTCATGAAATGAACAACACGGTCCGGATCCATTGCAAAATTTTATGAACTAGATGTGTCATATTCTTAATGGCATAGAAGAATATATGATTTTCTTTACACGGAAAACATACATCTTGTAGGCTGAAATTGCTAAACACTGATGCAGTGGCACATCAGGCTAGAAATTATTCGGGAATTGGGAAAGTTTTTTGAAACCAAAATATACACTTTCTTCGGGCATAAACTATGAAGACAATGTGATTTCCTACCAAATGAGCAAAAGATAACATACAGTGAGTGACCGATCTCATGAAATGTTGACTGAAATTTTGAAGTGCGTTTTCGATTAGGAAGGATTACTTGGTCGCGGTTGTAATACTGATTATCTTAAGGCATACTCTTATAACATTTTAGACTTGGCAGGATGTCGGCTTTAAAATGCATTTCTTTTCAATCTCCTGTAGAAAGCGTGCTCGGTAAAAAAGGCTACTTAAGTAGCATGCATTTTTCCCATTGATTTTCGATGGCCTTGCAAATTCAAATATATTTTATAGAAACCATAAACAAAAATATGGAGAATCCCGTCTTCTTTATATTTTATACTTAAAGAAGGAGTATAAATAGGTTTTAAAAATGTTTCTAATTATGAGACTTTTTAAGACCGCGAAATGTCCATTCGCATCACATCGTACCTGGCCGTTTACCGCTGCTCCTCATGAAATGTACAACATGGTCCGCATCCATTGCAAAATTTTATGGACTCTGTATGATATCTCTTTAATGACATAGAAAAATATGTTATTTTCTTTACGCGGAGCGCATGCACTTTGTAGACTGAAATCACTAAGCGCTAATGCAACGAATGATCAGGCTCCGAATTATTCGGCAATTAGAAAACATTTTTAAAACGTAATTTTACTCCTTTATTGAGTGTAAAACATAAAGAAAATGTGATTTTTTATTGATTGATTAAAAGAAAGCATTTTTTGTTTATGGTTTCTATAAAATATATTTGAATTTGCAAGACCATTGAAAATCGACGTGAGAGATGCATGCCACTTAAGTAGTCTTTTGTTGTCGAATGCGGTTTTTACAGGCCGAAAAGAAGGGCATTTAAGAACCGACATCCGGAGGAGCCCGAAATGTTATAGGATCATGCCTCACGATAATCAGTACTACAACCGCGACCAAGTTATTCTTCCTAATCGAAAACACATTTCAGAACTTCAGCCAATATTTCATGAGATCGATCACTCACTGTACTTTTTTGCATGTTCTGTATAAAATATGCTTGAATTTAAAAGACCATCGAAAGTCAATAGGAAAAATGCATGTTAATTAAGTTGTCATTTTTTACCGAGTATGGTTTCTGCGGGAGGTCGAAAAGAAGTGCATTCAAAAACCGACATACTGGCAAGTCCGAAATGTTGTAGGGTTATGCTGCATGTTAATCAGTATAACAATCCCACTTAAGTAATTCTTCCTAATCGGACACGCCTTTCAGGATTTTGGCCAACATTTTATGAGATTGGTCACACACTGTACCTTGGTATTTTCAAGCCCCTCGAACTGTTCGCCCTGAGGCGTAGACTTAATGGCCATGAGTAGGGCAGATAGGCATCAGCTTGACCTGGCCGAACCGGTCGGCCCGACGATGGAAAACGTTTGCGTTTCAAGAGAACTCTACGTGGGGGCAGATTCGGTTAGTGCACAGGTACCTCGATAGCAGATGAGTTCGAACAGGAATCCGAAACGTCAGGCCAATATAATCCTTGTCCCAGCGAGCGTGTCTCCTTCTTCGCGACTGCTTCCTGAGACTTCGCTGCTATTGGCACTGTATTTGGGCTCGATGCGCTCCGATCGGCCCGACGATGGAAAACTGTCGCCCTTGGAGATGCCTCCACGTATGCGCAGATTCAATTTCTGTAGAGGTGCCTCGATAATAGCATGTTACCTAGATTTCTTTCATACAAACCCCGGGTAAGCACAGAGTCGGCTAGATGAAGAGTGTTTCAGCATGGCAGAACGATGATCCCAGTGTTACTCCAAGATTGCCACGCAAGGCCTCGCAGGTAACGTCGGAGGATCAATCAGAAGAAGACCAGATGCTGTTAGGTCATAGGCGAAAACGGTACAAATTTGATTCTGCAAATAGGAGTCTATAAACAGAGACCGATACACGACGCAGCACTGGAGAACAGATTCAGAAAGCTGCCTAGTTTACCATCGCAGAAAACAACAAACTGGTGTGCAACCTGTCGTCAAAGAAGCTGGCAATGAAGATGATGCAGGCATAACACCTCATTGATCACAACCGACGCCAGACTGCAGCACTGGAATTAGTCTTCATTTAGACGGTAGAGATGGCGGGGACTAAAGGTCGTCTACTCTCATGGCTCACGGGTCGCGCTACGTACTTACCAAGGTCGAGCGCGATGCACTGAGGGAAATCAGGGCCGACTGAGGCCTCGCTATCTTGCCTGCGGGTAATAGGTGTGTTATGGCTGTATCAGACAGACAGCCTTCAAAAGATCAATGGTTTGCTAGATGGTCGCCAGTTCTATGTCACGTGTGCAAACAACTCCGGACAAGATCTTATTTCGCAGCCGTATCTTTTAGGGGTTGGGGTTAGGCGTTAGTGGTTAAGGTTAGTGGGTTAGGATAAGGAAGTCATGGTTAAGGGTTTGCGGCTGGAGGCAGAGGTTAGGGTTAAGGGCTAGTGGATAAGATTAGAGCTAAGGGTTGGAACTAAGGGTTAACGTTAAACCCCCTATTACCACCGGTCCGTATGACAGTCAGCTAGGGGTTGTCGGTTAGATCGCAGTTGGAAGCCAGGAATGGGGAGGAGGACAGCCAGGTCCCTGTCGTACGGTAATGGTGGGAAAGGAGTTATATGGGTGGGGTATATGGAAGGACTGGTAGAGAAATGCTGGAGTTCCTGGGCAAAAGTGACGTTGCCAGGGAAAGTGCTGGGAAGTTTTAATTAGATGGAAAAATGACAGAAATTTAAACATTACGCTCAACTCTAAAATCCAACCTGATCACAATCGCAAAGTCTAGCCCTAAGCCTCAAAACCGAAAGGTAACCAAAATTCCACAACCCAACGCTAACCGAAAACCTAGCCATGACCCTAGCCCTCATCTTCATCTTAAACCCAACCTTTACCCTGACCCTAACGGAAACCTAAACCCTAATTCTAACACTGAAACCTGACCCTAAAACGTAAACTCTAATCCTAAAACTTAACTTACGCCTTACCCTAACCTTCACCAAGCCCAACAGACTAAACGAAATGGGCGACCAGCCTAACTCAGTAAGAGCACACCTACTGATAACATGGTCCCTAGACAAGGTAAGCACACCTGCGGATAACAAGTACGTACGTCCACAGTATCACCGTTTACTGTCTGGCTACCAGCTGCGATCTTATCGGGTTGCCTTCTGCAGGTACGGCTACGAAATAAGATCTGACCCAACCCCGCAAAGCCGCTGTCACGCGAAATCAATGCGCGTTGTAGGCAGTGGAGAAATCAGACGCAATATCGCCGGTTGACCGACGCATAACGAAATTCGCAAAATGGAGATCCTCTCTGGCCCACCGTAAAATCGCCCAAAGGCACTCTAAATTACGCACTGGCAGTGTGGCACTGGTAGCAGCCAGATGTCCTTCTCCTCATCAAACAGAATCCGGCGCTGACTTTCAAAGAGCCTCTCAAGGCTGTCTGACCGGATGTATGTAGGACGACCGAGGAGAACAACAACCGGCTGGCCTTTTTTGACGTCCGCGTCTACCGCAGTCAGTGTGGGTGGTCTAAAAAACAAACTATCCAGGAAAGCCAACAATACGCCACAAATACTGCGCCACAACACCAACAAACCAATCAACCACAAACGCGGTTGCGTAAGGACATCAAACCGGAGCGCTGCGGTAAACAGGAAGACAAGGCACTTGAATTTAATTTATTACCCTGTCAGTTGAAATGTGATATTTGAAGCGGACAAAGGCAGACTCATGTTAGAACAACGGAAATATCTATCTTGACTGTTTATATCAGCCTCGTACAGTTTCTAGCAAATGCAGTTAAATTATTTACCTGTAAAGGGCTAAAGGGCCAATCATACGCTTCAGCACACTGCTGACATTGCTGGAAACGACATCCATAAATACTAATTGGCATTTTGATTGACAGCATGCGACGACTGTCTCCGACGTTAAGTGAATATGCTACCTCATTATATGTTGACGGGAATTCCAAAGTGTTAATTCGATTTAAAATGATAACTTAAACATTGTTGTCATCTTAATTATCCTGTCAGCATATTTCAGTCATATCAAAATGCCGGCTGTCAAGCGCGCTCCCTAATGACTACTTAACTAAATTTCATCAAAATGACTACTTAAGTAGCACGGCTTTTTTTGTTGATTTTTGATGCCCCAATAAACTGTAATATCTTTTAAAGAAAGCAGGCATAGACATATACTTGTTTTTATTCATTTGGTGGCAAATAACGCCTTCTCCTTATCCTATACTTGAAAAAGACTGTATTTCTCTTTTCAAAAGTTTTACATGTGAAATTTTTTCAAGGCCTTGGAATGTCCAATCATACAGCGTCGCCCCAGCGTATTTATTAATTGAGTCTGTAAATTGGGCGGCATAGTCCACATCTACTGCAAGGTCTTATGAACATTTTTTTCGCAAAGGCATATAGAAATGTATTATTTTTCCTATACGGGAGGTGAAGAGCTTGAAGTCTGGAAACTCTGAATGCAAGTTTAACGGAAGGGCAAATTAAAAATTATTCAGGGCTTGATAAAGTTTTTAAAAATCAAGAAATGCTATTTATTCAGAAAGGAACCTCGAAGAAGACGTAATCTGCTACTAAATGAGTGAAAGAAGAAATACTTTTGTGCGCGTTTTCTATAAATACACTTGAATATATAAGGATATCCAAGTGCAAGGGGCAAAAAGTCATGCTAATTAAGTAGTCATTTTTCACGCAATATAGTCTATGCAAGAGGCTGATAAGAAGCTCGCCTGAATGCGGACATCCTGACATGATTGGAATATTTTGGCAATATGCGACAATATAATTAACGTGACAAGGTTATTTAAGTAAACTTTTCGGATGGAAACACATTCTATAATTTCACTCAACATTTCAGGAAGTTGCATATTCGAATATCTGCTTGATTAGTTTTCGTTCTTTTTCACAAAACTCGAATTTGCAGGTCCGTATGACAATGGCTTTTCCGCTGACCCTGGACCTAACTTAGGTTCTCACAATGTCAACATCACTTTCATTATTAATTTCCGTCTGTCAAACTAAAGTCTGTCGCTGTCCATTTCGAAATCCAATTTGCGCCTAAAAGACGCTGAGAAACTGTGGACTTTTCAAGTGTTTATTCCTCGCTGACAAACTCTCTGTAGTCGAATGTGCCTATTTTTCATATGAAAATTTTCAGCTGGTTAAGAATGCCTCACCAGCTTTTGGTCGCTTCTTTTGACCGAGTCACCGCAAACCCTTTCAGCATTCAGTGCGTGGGCCTACCACGGTTGGTCAACACCGCGCTTGGGTTTGTCTTCTGACGCAAGGGTCAGTCATAAGACCAGGCTAGAGGACGTAGTCGAGTAAATGACAACGATAGGTTGAAGGAGCACAATTACCTGTCAGTGTACTGTGGATTGCGTCATGCGGGGATGGTGGTAATTGGAGAGGGGGGGTTTACGGGATGCAGGAAAACACAAAGGACACTCGGGCGAAAAACGATACCTTTTAGTAAATTGATGAATGTATGCTTGCATGATATGCAACTGGATATTCCACGACGTTAAATATTGAAAGAGTCCCTGACCATCGGGCAACTGAACCTATCCCCTCACAGATATTTCTGTTATCCCACCATTCATGTCCAATTTATCTCCGCTCTTGAGTAAAACTGTCAGTCGCCATTACTTAACTAGATTTCTCAAGTTCGTGCATTATCACATGATCCACAGTCTATCGACAGCTAAGTTGTACCCTTACCCTACCGCTGCCGAATAAATTTTAAATCAGGTGTGTTTCTGCGTTTACCTTGGTATAACTGTGCTTCACGACGTCCCCCACCTAACAGTTCATGGATGGGTTCTTGAAAATTGTTTTCTAGATGCAGCGCTGGCCAGAAGTAGTCACTCCTCGGAATTAGCGGCTGTAGACAGGTTCAGATTGCCCAATGGACAGAGTTGGGATGATATCGTCTCCCGAATCGATGTTGCTCGCAGGGTTTTTGAAATCTGCAGAAAGTTTCTATGATCCCAACGCGATATCTCCATCGCCACGAGGGTCTGCACGCAATCGGTCAATCTTCCTTTACGACTGTGAATTCCGGTCTTGGATGTGACTGGCTGACGACGGCTAATAAGCCAGAAATAGCCATTCCAGTCTCACTTGTCTTTATCGGTAATAACATACTGCCCACACAGGCCTTCATTTACGGATGTGACTGCATCATTTGGCATTCTTCGTCATGACGTGAAATAGTCGATTTCGTTAAATCAAAAACGCGGATTGTTTGATTGTTCAGATTAAAGCCCAAACCGTCCGTCAGAGAACTAAGACGACGGACGCATGTGGTCTGCAGAATTTATGAGCTCACCCCCTCTAAGAAGTTGCTTCTTCATTCATTATTGATATTCGTACTTGCCGCCACAACATTTTGTCACCGGTATCTGAGTATTTACTAGCGGAGACTCCATAACCGGTGCTAGTGACTGGCGCAGTAATTACTTTGCAATCGGGCTTACCAGTGTTGTTGCCGGAAGCAGTCTTGGCACGCGCCCTCCCGCGTGATTAATTGCTGCGTCTGGGCTCTGCTATTCTGATAGTCACTATGGTAGAATTTGTTTACTGACTGTGGCTAAAACAGCTAGTAATTCACGCTATTTCCACTCCTTGTGTGGCCTGTTTTCGTCGAGTGAACGGCAACATGAGACCTGGCGTCATGCCTCTTAACTGTTGATGTGCGCCCGATTCTCGGTGTCCTGAACGATCTTCCTGGTTTCTTCTCCGCCGTTAATTTGCCCGAGACTTCATTAAATCCGTCAAGAGAACGCCGGATGTTTTCTGCCGTGCCAAATGGTCATGCGGTAACGGCAGGGTGTAGGACTCACAAACAGATGACAATTATATAAATAAACCCCTTAAATTCAGGGAGACTGTAAATACTACCTATTATCCACCGTTTCCATCGTTCGGAATTGCTTTCCCTTCCTGACTAAATGCAAACTTGCCAGCGGCACTTTATTAGTCGGATGTGGTTATTTAGCCTCACCTGCGGCAAACAAACCCCAATTACCTCTAATACGGGACCGGCGGTAATAGGCGTTTTTGCAGGTAGGGCCGGGGAACGCACAGGCGATGAGGTCAAGTATTTGTATGCAAAAGAAAAGTTATTGGGAATGCGCGATTGTACATTGAAGAGTTGATAAATGTTTGCGCTAACCCCTAACTATAACCTCTAATCCTAAACCCCAGCTCTAACCCTAACGCCTGACCTAAACCTCTAACGCTAACCCTTAACTCCGACCCCAACAGTATTGTGTCCATCAGGTGGGGCCACAAAACCACATCTTGCCCGTATTTCTTTGAAGATCGCATTTTGTTTATTTTTTTATTATCGCGCTTAATTTCATTGCCAGATGACAGCCTACGATAAGACCTTCGGCTCAAATTTCTCTATTTTCTGTGTCTTCTTGTTCTCTGTTCTGTGTGTTGCCCCCTAACCCCAAAACCCCCTTTACCACTATTCAACGTATGACACGGTCCACAGGCCAGCCCGAGTTAGTTGTGGGTCCTCAACCTATCGTAGCCGGTTATCCAGTCCCATGACCTAGAATCCAGCTGCCGCTTCCTTTCTGTGTGCAGTTTCAAATCTGAGTGGCGTAGGGGGCAGGCTGACGGCTTTCGAAACCGTCTTGACGTACGAAAGTGCAGACTTAAATTTTGGGCCGGTGCTGTTTGTTGTCACATTTTAAGAAAGTTGCCTGGGCGGACATTTGCTCAAGGCGCTGGCCAAAGCCATGGCGACGCGGAAACTTTCCCTTTCATGCGTACCAACATGCCCGTAGAGCGTCCAAAGCAAATGCATTTTATACAGTCCCACCCGATCGCCGGTTTAGAATTCTTTATGCCTATTGGCAGTGGCTGATTTCCTCTCGGTATCATCATTATAATCTGTTAGCTTTGAAGAGCTAGCAAGGATCTGTCGATGTGGCCATTCTGGAATTTGATGCGCTGCAGTGTGTTTCCAACAGCTAGGGCAATCACAACTCCGTTTGTTCCGCGACAGACAAGTGCAATCAAAACAAGAAGTATGGCGTTTGCCCGTGCCTTTTCTGACTGTCGTTTTCTTAATCTGACCGTCTGGCTGGCGCCAGATGAGAAACAGTCCTGCTTTGTTTTGTAGGAGAATAGTTGAAAGATTTAACGGTGAACTGTACTCAATGCACGAACCTAAATAAACTCGGATTTTCAATCTTTTATCGAAGGGACTTTTAGAGGTTCAGCCTGGATTCAACTTAACTGTAATTGTGTCAATTCATCAAGCTCTGCTGCGCTGTGCCGAAAGACATTTGAAGTTACATGGTTTCTCTCGACATCGAATTGCGCTGTTGCTATGCCTAAGCTATGAGACTGTCAGATTTATAAAGACGTAACAGAAAGCATTAATAGAGCCGGAGGTCCGTACTTTGAAAATTCAGTGCCGTTTAATGCAACCTAAAGTCAGTGCCACCATCTGAAACCAGAATATGCTGCAATTAGGGCGACTGCAACTATGTGGGGGAAACCGCGCGGAAATTGCAAACCCGCCGATAAGAGTACAAATCGACAACTCGGAAACTAGATCCAGACTCTCAGCTAACAATGCACGTTAGAGAAACTGAGCATACTTTCGATCTCCAAAGAACGATCATCTTAGGCCGGGGCAACAAAAAACTGAGCAGCTAACATTCAAGCCGTGGTGCTCAGATGCTAACTCCATCGGCAGGCACCTGGACCTTCCTGCAGCCTACAAAGTCCTACGTCATCACATCTGTAGAGATCAGAACCAAGTTATCACACTGGACTTAAGAAGTCCATACAGAGACAGTCCTATGACGAGTTCACTCGGCGAGGAAGAACAAGAACTGCCAGACCGACCACCTGAAAAAGCTCCAATCAACTCCGCCCGACGGAGTGGTGACCCACAAAGCACGCAGATAAAACGCGCGCCAACCATCCCTCGAGAGGCCGAGGCCGAGAGTGAAGAGGAAAATCGATCAGCATGCGGCGACATGCCACTTGGAAGTTCTGATCGATTAAGTGAATTTTACACTTTGACAAGGAGGAGCCGACCAAGCTCTCCGAAACGTAGGCAACTAATTGGACCCGTTCTGGTGAATCGATCTTTTTCTTCAGATAAACCTCTCAACTTAACTGTAAGGCAGACTACAGAGATATGTTTATAAGTGACCCCAGGCAGCCTTGATTTATGCTCACTCTAAGATGCCCCTGATGAAAGATTTGGGGCAGTCAAAGAATCACGAGGCCGCCGCAACGAAAACCCTGACGACGTCCATCATGTGCTCTACAGGGTGAAGCAGGGACAGTGAATTGTGCGTGAATTAGTTTATAATGATAGTGGACTTGCACTGTATCCACATCACTCACTCCTCCCCCTCCCACCTAAACCCGGTGCCAAGACATATTTAAGAAGACTAGTGGCGGAAGAGGGCGCAGGCCAATGAACACCCACCGATAGTTTCGACGTTCGTACACGCAAGGCCGTCCGGTCATTAATAGGTAGAGCTGGGTGCGCCTTTCATACAAGCCGGTGTAGCGCTAGCTCTCAGCCAATTGTAAATCCCCCTCCCGTAAAGGCGGCTTAGGCAACTCCGCTATAGGAGTCCCCTACTGCGTTTGGTAGCAGTCGACGAAAGCTTCCTCTCCCTGACTCCTGACCACATCCTTATGCGAGCGTGCAACCTGCTATCGGATCCCTTGCAAAACTGATGGGGCTGACGTTTCAATGCATTCAAACTGCTGGCGAACTAACGAGAAGGTAGTCTGCACGTCAAGTTCCCAATACTGTCCTCCAGAAATATTTCGTTTTCACCTTTACCTTCTGGACTCAAAGAATGAGTGTCTCTTACGGAAGTCTACTGCAACGTGTGCCAGCCTAGCCAGACCGTAAATGAAAAGCCGCGCACTCTCTCGAGGATTTCTTCACCACTTTTCAGCTCCCATGATCCGACTGTGCCGTCACCCTTGACTAACTCGCCTGGCAACAGTCAAATCCGTGGATGTATCTCCCTAAGCCACAACCGGCGACTGGAGTACTTAGGGATGATCAATGGGTCTTGGATAGTTCCACAAAAATGAGCAGAATCGCATTCCTGGCAAAAGCGAAGGAGGCCGGAATGACCGTTTTGGGCTTGGCAGCCATCCTCAGCAAGCCATACTCAACCCCGAAGTGTGGATCACTCGGGGCTCGAACTCGCGACCTGTTAGTTAGGAGTCCAACGCCCTTAGCCACTGAGCCATGGACTTGTTGTCCTGTCGGTTGCCATCGGGTATATACAATGGTAGGGGGACGCTAAAGTTAGGTTGGTTAAAGTTCACGTTGAAGAGGAGGCCCGACGGTAGCGTCCAAAGGCGTGTCCATCGGAAGAAAACTTGGTCTGGACGACAGACGAACTCCAGCAGTTTCTTTTTCCTCCTATAAAGACGAAATATACTCCGGTGTTTGGTGTAATGAGCTAGAAAGATTTGTACGATAGACAGCATCGGAGTGGAGCTTTGAATGATCCAAGACTTTCTTTGCGAAAACGAATATTGCGAAGAACATTGCCGAGCAAAAGAAAAACCCACCATACCTACAGTGGGTGACCTATCTCATAAAATCTGATATCGTAAACTGATCAGAGAATTTCTGGACGCTTTTATTGTATAGCATTTTGTTCGATCAACCACTTTCTTCAATAAAATGTCCTTTTCTTATGCAGAAATTATGTTTACGTAATTATATCAAGTCAAATGTCGATAAATTTTGACGAAAATGGACGTTGTATTATGTTCGTGCAATTTCCTATTATAATACACGTCCTAGACTCCGGTTACGCATCTGAGCGACTTTTTCATTGGGAAGATAATAAGTTACCCTCGACAGTTTTAATAAACGAACTTAGCCAAACTTGAAAATTTATTTTATGTCCGATGTTAACCATGTTGAGCAATCCGGTAAGATAAAGGTTATTTTAAGTAAACTATAGTTTTTATCATTTTCCCCATGTTAAATTAGCAGATCTGAGGGATTTGGTGCTCAAATGTGCAGAAAGGGATTCCTTCGTTTAAGTGGACTGAAAGTGTTTTGTCTTTTGGAAAATTCTTCCTGGTGTCACGCAGATGACCACCACGGAATGGTTATTTCCAGCTTTAAACATATGACACACTATTTTTCGTGTAGTTAAGCTTCTGTGCATAACGTATTAAGAAATACGACGAGCAAAATATTTACAATTTCAATAAACTATCAATCTTTATATGGGCACTCTGCCGTGTATTCATAATCAAAGAACGGAGTCCAAAAGCGAGCAAAAACAGCGGAAATGGCCAAACTATATAGCAAAAGGCGTGTTCTTACGTTCACGGTGGAAAAATATTAGTATATCTAAGGAACGTGAAAGAAACGACCAAAAGTGTCAAATTTTTACTTGGCCTCGCCGTGTGAAAATGCAAAGTACACAGAGATCTGTCAACGGCGTGCAGTAATAAAGCACTTCTTAAAGTGCTAACTTATTTATGAAAGTTTTCTTATTTATCGAAGACATATTCGTTGCTGACTTTCGTTGTTAACAGACGTTTTTCTCGAAAATGAAGTTTGATGCTTGAATGAGTCTTCACATGTGACCCAAACGACCATCTTCGTGAACAGGAGCGCCCGAACACTCATTAATTCGGTAAATGCCTTCAAGAATAATCTTATTTAATTTAACGGAAGAAAAGTTCTCTCTATAAATACAAAGTGGTATGTTTACGATCACGCCTGTCAGTTCTATTTAAATTTATCAGGCACCGACCGGCCTCATGGCATGTCACCATATGAAAACTTTTGTTCCTACGACGTCCCTATCAGTGAAATCAAGCAAAATCCAACTTCTTTTGTTAAACGCCGTCTTATTTACATCAAAGAAATCAAATTAAAAATGGAACGCTGGAAAACTGTTTTGGATTCTACACTCGGAATGTAGGCAGTTGACAAATCGTCATATAAAAAATCACATTATTTATTAAACTATATTTAAATGTAAACTTTACTAAAACACCGTTACTGGACGCTATTTTATGCCTAAGTTCATATATACTAAGTTTTGGGTGTGAGAATACCTTCTATACATCCAAAAACGAACTTTCCTTAATAAGAGACCTTTCTGACGTTTTCGGGATGTTGCGCTTTTCAAAATAAATCGGCATTTCAAAACAACGCAACACTGACTTTAACCTTTATTATATGTTTTTAACTCTTCTAGAACTTGTACTTCATTAAATTAGAAATCGAACTCATGAAATGGTGTCGGATTGCGAGTGATTGGCAATCATTCGTGAATTTCGGCACATTTCATGAGTTAAGTCACTATTTGCACTGCCGAAAAGAAAACGCTGTTCCTTAAAGTTCCATTTAAATGGGACGCTGGGAGTGACCACCCTCGAAGACCTCCTGATCAGTCGAAGCTTCCCAACAGCAAGAGTTAGAATATTATTCTAAACTGACCCCATTTTAGTCGGAAAAAGTAAGGATGGGCTGCCACCTCGGATCACCTCAATGTGCAGTTACTCCATCATTTGTTCCTGGGGAGCAGGTTATATTGGTCGCAAGAGTCGGCATATATCCCGAATAGCCCGACAGTCTTTGTTCAAAATCAAAGTGATGGCAGGAATGGTGATATACGCAGGATTTAGCTTAAACTGGTAGTAGACTTGCACAGCATCTACCGCACTCACTCCTCCCCCAACTGGACCCGGTGTAAAGACAGAGTCAAGAAGACCAGATGCGGGCGAGGGCCTGGGTGGATGGCACACGGTCGAGCCCGCACCTTGGCGCTCCTCTCCACACTTCCTGGGAGGCGGCAGTGTGCTCTACGGCTGCCGGCAGCCGGGTCTGCCACCGCACCCCGAAATGTTGACAACTGTTACGGTGTGCCATTCCGATAACATCTGCCAGAACCTCATAAAGCTCCTTTGGTGGTTGAGCGCGTCCACCCCCACGAGGCTGGAAAAAGGCGAAACAGCGTCATTCTCGCACATATATGTTGATTCTGGATATCATGTTGACACCAAGAAATCTTTCAGTGTAATTTATAGGGTCCCCTCGAGTTAATCTAAGCTACTACGCGAAGACGCATTAGCATTCCCAGAATCGGCCGTAATCGGGTTGCAAAAGCCGGCTTTGTGCGCGCAGTAGAACCTCATTCGGACTCCGCACTCACCAACTTAATACGAGCAACTCTCTGCTACCTTCCGCTTCCACCTCGGCTGTGTTTTAAAACTAACTTTAATCGGTTTCTCTAAACACTGGCATGTTTGCCTTGTACCCCATTCCATACAACTGCAATGGTCTGACGAGAATTTATCGAAAACAAACGTATACACGCCAACTAGTCTTCTGAATGTAAAAGTGACTTCGAAGAAGAATAACCATCCGTTTAAGTTCCTCTTCCGCTCCATCTCGCCGTCAGATGGGATTGGGTGAGAACGCCTGCTCTCTCACCAGTGCCTCAGAAACGCTGGCACGCCCGAAACGGTAATTACTTTTCAGTAGAAAATAAACTGTATACGTGTGCAATTTGTGTCTGCATAAAAATTCGCAGATTTTACTTGAAAAAAAAACGCAGTTTGGTGGCCAAATAGCTGTCGCAAAGTGTGCGTGCTGGAGCGCGTAAGATGCCTTTCAATCGGATTTCTGAGCAGTAGCCAGAAAAAATGGCCTGCCAGAAGTTTGTGACCGACGCCGAACTGCGTTTCGGAAGGTTGAAATCACTATGCACGCAAGCCACACGCCATTCGCCCCTGCAGTCCGGGAGGGGGGGGGAGGCGGGACGAGGCGGAGGAGCGACTGCGTTTACAAATCCTTCATGCCCTCTGCTCCGGCCCAGTTAACCTAGCAGGCAACGCGCTGGGTTTTTGGGTCGTAAAGTAGTCAAACCTAGTCCTTTTATATTCACGGTCTCAGCTATTCACTACTGCCCTGCAACCGCCAGCGTCATCTCCTCAAAAATGTAATATAATGCATGAGTTTCCCTGCACGCAGGGTACGCAGAAATCCCTATACAAAAGTGGAACTGCTGATTTTGTTTAAAATTGTTAAGAAATTTAAGTGTCTACCGCAACCTGGAGACACCCTTTTTTCAAGCATGGAAGTTGAAGAAGACGTAATTTGCTTTATTTAATTACCGAGGAAGTTAGTGCTTGAACTTGGAATATATCTTTTGGAAAGAACACTTGTCAGGCACGGTCTGAAAGTCAAAGTGTATATTGAGGCTGAAATCCATCAGCTACTGCAGAATAACCACGTAATATTCACAAATCGCCAAGATGCAGCCTCTAGTAAAGAGCTGTGTAATGACTCACAACAACGCAGCTGGGGAAACCCGTGATGAGCTACGTCAGGCAGCGGAAAGAGACCTGCGAAACACGGGTGTCTGGCTTTTTAGCTAATATCGGATTTGCTAGTACGATAAACAATTACACTAGACGCGAGTTGCTAAACGATGAGCACAAGAAAGCGTGCATATATTCCAACAAAATATAGTTTATTTTGTTTGCGCTTCGAAAATCAGTTGGGAAAGTGCAAGTTATTTAAGAAGTCATTTTTTTCTTAAACGATTACAGATTTTGCGAGTGTGCCAAAAACAACTAATCCAAAAGCAGGCATATTGGCATGACCAAACTATCCAGTAATCTGTAAGAATTTAGAGTGACCTGCAGCGTCCAAAGGAATCATACAGTTTTGCATGACTGTAGGAATACCATGGGTAAACGAGTCTGAGCCTGGCAAGCACAGAATAGTAGACTCGCCCCGTGTGTCAAAAATTAGGAAATATTGATTGTTCGCCTAACTGGCAGGCCTGATGACAGGGAGCAATCAGCACTAAATATATCGCGGAGATTAGATCAGATTTGATAGCGGAATTCCTCTGGCTGTGTTTGTTTTCTCGCTCCTAGGGGTTTGCTATAAGCAGGTGTTCCACCGCATACACAGAAATACGTGCATTCCATATCCTTCCATGACTGAAATATCCTCGGAATATGCTACTATGTCATCAATATTGCAAACCCGCCTAAGTAAGCCTTTGTAATAGCTAACAAAATTTAGAATTTCGTTAATACTTCATGAGCTAAGCCAGTTACTGTAGAGGACATTGGCATTTTCTGCACCACAGTCATACAGGGCGGCGGTGATAGTTTACCCTGCTATGCAACCGGGTCACACCGCTGTGCGCTTCATGCTGCATGGCTGCCGTCCAACGCCTAAGACACATGCCAAGTCTGCTGCCGAAAATCGTAATGCGCAGGGAACAGTGTAGATGCACGTTAGTCAGTTAATCAAGACCGCAGATTGTGGGGCGGGTTGCTGAAGTTATGATAAATACTTGGCATGGGGATAAATGTGCTTCCAAATATGTCTTGCGATTCAGACAGCTGACCTATCGCACTCCAATTTCTTTCGATGCACTCTATGCAGAAAAGATTATTTCGGTGAGGTTGCCAATCCCTCGCACTATCGCCCGCGTCTGAATTATGCTTGAGTACTTTCCCATCCATCCACGCAGATGACATTCGAAAGAATGCACATGTAACAGAAGTGCGCATTTTAATCAGCGAGTTCCTCTGACTATGTGGGTTGGGCTGACGCAAGCAGGAATGTCGACCAAGGCAAGGACGAATGTGGTGGCTTTTCGGCTTACTAGTCAGTGAACGATCCTTCAATGACTGCAACTTTAATCATACGCCGCAAAAATAATACATAACACTATTTTACTATCCAGGCTTTATGGGAAATTATGTGCTTTTTGAATTTTTTGTTTGAAAAGTGCCACCGTTGTCTCTTTATAGGAGGCTATCTTGACTGTGTATCTTGAAAGACAACCTGTGTTTTTAAGTGATCGTACATATCTTGCTTCTTAAATTCTTCAGAACTTACCAGATTATTTGGGGTTACAGGATACCTTATTGACAGTACAGGTGTTAGCTATAAGCCCAGACATGCGTGTTTCGCCGATACTCTTCCACTGCATAACACGCCTGCGAGGGGTTCGGCTAATCAGTGGGTCCTCAGCATACTTCGTGTGCTTTCCGGTAGATATTCTAGTCTTGGAATTCGTCACTTTCCAATTTTTCTGGGAGTTAACCGCTAACGTGGGGTAGATCAGTTTCAGATTAGGATCTATCTGCACAGACCGCAATCCGATGCATGAATATTCTGGCCGAAGTCCATCAACCACAGCCGGATAATCGTATAATATTCATTAACTGCCGACAGGCAGCTAATGGCATGAACTAGTTCTACAGGGTACTGGGGAAGCGAACCCGTCGCAGCTGGAGCATGCGGCGGCAGAATATGGGCGAAGCATTCTGTTTGTGTTTTTAGCTATTACCTGTGCTACCACTATGGTATCCTGTAACACTAAATACACTAATCTCTGCCCAATTTCTGCTTGTTGATTTCCATATTCATATGGACCTATTGGATATCCTTTTCAGGCCCCGCTAGACCCGAATTTGAATCTAGCGTGCGTCAGCGATTTGAGCTAGGTTTCAACCGATAGGCCGGAAGTGGCTATTTCAGTGTTCTTGACCCTTGTCAGCAGGACTATAATTATGGCTTGATAATCGCCGTGCGACCAAGGTCGGTCCGCGACTAACAATAAGTCATCCGCATTCCATTCTGCGATGAGGGCCGATCGGTCCAAGCTGTTCACAATTGGCTGAATATTTCCCAGTTTAGCCAAAATAACGGGGGCCGATAATGCGGTCATGATGACTCAGGTTCGGAGTTGGGTCGGGAATTAACCAAACCCTCACCCCAGCTTAGTTACCGCGCCTAATCTCAGCACTGGTCAGCCAGCAGGCTCGGAAAAGTCACTGACGCAAGGCTGAGAAAAGAGAAAAATAGGCTGATTATAAGAATCTCTTCTTCACACCACTTCAGTCCACTTCCCATTCCGAACTATTCGACAGGCCTTAATAGTGCACAACCAGCAAAAAGTCGAAGAAGGAGAAGAAAACGAAGAAGAAAATGCGATCATTGCGAGAAGTTTGCTGGTCTGACCTATCGGATTCTCACTAAAACCTACCAACAAAGACGGTCACGGAGAAGGGTAGTGGCTCCGTACGCCGGCGCCAGATCGGTAGGTTGCTCGACTAAGTTCGCATCCGAGACCCAGTCTTCAATCAATTCTCGGCCTGCTTTGGTTCCGGCGTGGATGATTATGTTGGTGGCTGCGAAGTTAAACTCATAACTCGCTTCGTAGGTGTGGGCGGCCATTTGCGATAATAGGTGGCCTCGACGCACAGCTAGTACATATTCGCTTATGCGTGACCCGAGCTTGGGCCTCGGATATTCATTCAATCAATTTACCGATCTGGCGCCGGCGTACAGAGCACTACGCAGTCACCTTCATCCAAGTCTTCTTCCTCTATAAAGTAATTCACGTACAAGTCAAAATCCCTGCGTTCGCCCCGCTGGAGATTGTAATGAGGGTTGAACTTCCAGACTTTAACACACTTACAGTGAGTGACCGACCTCATGAAATGTTTGCCGAAATTCTGAAATGTGTATTCGGTTGGGAAGGATTACTCAGGTGGGGTTGTAATATTGATCATCATGCGGCATAGTCCTGTTATATTTCGGACTTGCCAGGATGTTGGCTTTTGAATGCACTTCTTTTCGATCTTTTGTAGAGACAGCGCTCTGAAGGAAATGACTACTTATGTAGCGTGCATTCTCCACGTTGATTTTCGATTATCTTATAAACTCAAGTATATTTTTAGAAAACGTATACAACAATATGATTTTCTACTCTTTCGGTAGAAAATTACGTTGTCTTTACATTTTATATCCGAAGAAAGGTTATCCTTCGTTTTTAAAAAGGGGTTCCAATTCCTGAATGATTCTGAGCCTGATCAGCCTTTCCATTAGCGGTTAGTGATTTCAGTTTCCAAGGTGCATGATTTCCGCGTAAAGAAAATCATATATTCCCCTATGCCTTTAAGAAGATACTATAGAGAATTCATAAAATTATGCAGTGGATGCGGACTGTGTTGTACATTTCATGGGGGGCATTGGTAAACGGACATGTCCGATGCTGTGTGTATGTACACCTCACGCTCTTAAAAGTCGCATAATTAGAAACTCTTAAAACCAAAAAATAACCTCTTTTGGGGAATATAATGTGGAGAAGATATGATTTTCTACTAACTGAGTAAAATAAAGCCTATGTTTCTATAAAATATAGTTGAATTTATAAAGCCATCAAAAATCGACGTGGGAGATGCATGCCACTTCAGTAGCTTTTTGTTATCGAAGGCGGATTCTACAGGAAGTCGAAAAGAAATTTTATAGGATCATGCCCCACGATACTCAATATTTCAACCCCGCCTAAGTAATCCTTCATAATCGGAAGCGTATTCCAAAATTTCGGTCAATATTTCATGAGATCGGTCACTCGCTGTATTTATAGTGACTCCTTAAAAAAGAAATTCTAGTGGAGTTAATTAATATTCTATTTTCTCAACCAAAGAGTAAAACAGTCAGCCAAAAAATCGATTTTCTTATCAGTGGGGACCAATCGAATTATGGAAAGTAGAGGCTTGGATTTAAATTTAAAAAGCTGTTTTATGAGACAGAGGTTCCGGCATTACCTTGTTTAACTTTCGGGGAAATTATTGCGCGAATTTGAAGTAAATTCTGCAAGACAAACCTTTTCAGGCACGGTACAGAAGTTGGTATGAATATCTGAACTGAAATCCCTCAGATACTGCGGAATAGCCGCGTAATATTAACAGCTTATTCGAGCATAGAAAGAGAACATAGCCTGTTCCCTTCCAGATGCCCGCGAAGATTTTTCCAATTGCTGGAATTTTTTTCGGTATCCACCGAGACTATCAAAAACTCGACAAAGTTCCTCAGATATGTCGTCAAACGGAATCGATGACCAGGATGTGGTTGGTACGCACGATATGCCAGCATAGAACACAATAGTCCAAACTCCAAGTTCATGATTTAGTCATTACGGCCTATCCTACAAACCTCATTTTGGCTGTCGGATAAGGGATTGTTATATAGATATTTTCTATAAGGAGGAGAGGGTTATATATAAGGGCAGGATTATAAACTGGCAGCCTTTCTGAACAACTGACGAAACTGTCCGCTGGTGGAATCCTCCAGTGAATATTTCTCACGTACGACTTGGCCGGTCTAAATTCAGTATCCAGTTCAATGTTGCCGACATGCGGAAGCAGTGGAATCCCACTTTCCCGCATTCCTGACTGTTTAAACTTCAGATATGTTTAATCCCTCCGATCGGCTAGCAGTCCCCGTGTAAATGGTGATGGCTCCCAGGTCAACGCCAATGACCTTACGGTTGACCTCGCAGATGCTCCTATCCAGCTATCTGTCAGAGTTTATTCGCCTCTTCTCCGGCATATTCCACTTTAAGTTTTGCACTTCACTGGCAGGAAATATTGCCAGTCATCTCCTCTCTCCCCAGTAAATTAATCTTCAGATGAGCGGATGAGTCCCCATGAACCACTTCGATCCCTACACTGCATGTGAAAATTATTTTGGGCCCAGGATATCGGTGGCGTGTTTCGGTGATATACAAAATAATAAGGCCTTATTTTGAAGAATCTGAGGGAAACTGTTGGAATTTTATTTAGCTAGCATCTGCAGTAAATGATTAAAACGGGCTGGCACCATTTTGACAAGCGCGGCTGCGCCGTGAGAACATGGGAATATGACTTTGTTTAAGACCGCTAAAATTCCTTTTTGATCGTGCGTTTTTGGCGCTAAAAGCAACAACATTCCACTCCTTTTTTCACTGCAGACAAAATTGCCAACCAGCAAAAAACCTCAAACGCACAATTTCGTCTGCCTCAGTCGACGCCCTTGGCATGTAATCGTTCTCCGCTCTGAAAAAAAAAACTAGTATACTATGACAAACTCTGAACCGCTGCGGGGAGTAGAGATTTTTATAGCCTGCAGATAGGTCGGGCCATTTTAAAATTAACTGTGTAGTTGTTAGATGTGCGGTCAAGTCCCTCCTCCGTTAAGAATTTTTCACTGTCATATTACCAGAGGCAAGAATTTTCCGCAGTACTTCAACGAGTCTCCGCGGGAGGTATTCTTTAGATCCTTGATTCTCTCCCCCCCGAAGTATTTGCATATCAGAAAAAAGTACAGTTTTCATTTAGTGGTCAGACAATGCACAGAGCTTAAGCTTGTTCCAGTTCTTACTTCTGCTGAGAAGTAAATATCATTGGTGTAACCGCACATACAGAAAGTTAGCCACTTAAATTCTGCTCGGTGTCTCCATTATGGGCTTTGCGAATTGAGATCTTTCTTTAATTAATTTATGCTACTCTTACGTGTGGCTGCAGGGCAAATTGGTTAAACTTTATATGTTTCGCAACTCTAATAAGTAACAATAATTCTTGGACCACAGGGATACTGCGAATACGAGGCCGAACAGCCAGAATACCTCATGGCTTGTAGGCCTCGTAGTATAGACCGCTGCTCCGTGTTCGATCCGCCACTAGGAGGAAACGAAACATAGTGTTTTAAATGAGAGGATCCCGTTGGCCGGTTTCCTCACCAGCAATGAATATTGGATTTCATCCCTTGAATATCATAAGATTTAAATGCTTATTTGGCATTGGGATAAACCGCACGCAAGCAATGTCGTTGAATGAATATCAAAGAAGGCGACGGTATTAGGCGTGGTGCTTTCTGATTTTTTGCCGTCATCAGCTATCCATTTGTCAAGTTATACCGGAAAGAGCCGCAGCTTTAGTCCGGACAATGTGCTTATACCTTGTCGGCTGCTAACGTGAGAATTGGGAATTACCTTTAATTGGCAATTCACGAGTTAGATTGCAGGATAGAGAAGCGAATAGACGAGTCCCAGGAAGCAGTCGTGAAGAAGGAGACACGGTCGCTGGGACAAGAGCTTTATTAGCCTGAAGGTTCGGATTCCTGCTCGGACCCAGCATCAAAGACAATAGCAGATACGGGTGGTTTATGCACAAGAGGTTTCAGTATTTATAGGATGCAGCCGCCATGCCACCGCATACCTATGAAAATTCACGGCTCCCCCGCCCCCTTCATCAGGGATCGTTGCACGTGGCGTGATGACTGTTTGATGGTCAACGTCGGCGTCGTTAATTGTTGCAACCTCATCACGTGTGTTGGATGTTGGTGTGATGGTTGTTCGACCATCTGACCCACCGACCGTGGCGTTGGGTACAGTTATCACCTGTGCGCTCCCCGAGTGGCTAATTATTCCGCCTTGCAAAATCTCAGCACAGAGTATGGAATGGGAAGATCATTGCACTAGTTAATAGACTGGGGGCCAGTAAACCCTGATTCAAATGACTCCCGGCTCACGCAGTTGTCACATTTTGCGAGAATTTTGGTCTCCAATAGAAGCGAAGAGACGAGTCCCAGGAAGTAGTCTTCGCTTCTATTGGCAATGGATTTGGGCGCGATGCGCTCCGATCGTCCCGGCGATGGGAAACCTTCGCCCTTCGGGAGGTCTCAACGTATTCGCAGATCCGGTTTCTGCACAGGTGTCTCGACAATAATGTGTTACCGAAATGTGTTTCATACAAACCACCGGTTAACACGGATTTGGCGAGACGAGCAGTATTTCAGCACGGCAGAAGGATGATTCGAGTGCTCCTCCAAGATTGCCACGCGAGACTTCGTAAGTACCGTCTAAGGATTGACCAAGAAAAGACCAGATGCTGTGAGTTCATGGGTGAGATCGGTTCGAATCTGCTCCTGCGGAGGATAGCTGAACAAGCGCGCGAACAGAGCATGATACGCAACGCAGCACTGGAGAACAAATTTCGAAAGCTGCCCAATCCAACGTCGCCCAGAAACGACAAACGGGTGCACAACCTGTCATCAAAGGAGCTGACGAACGATCAGATGCAGGTTTTACGGCACGAAGCTTCATTTAACACGGCTGACGCCAAACCCGTTAAAATGATTGCAGCAGTGGAATCAATCCTTTGTCAGACGGAGGCAACGGAAGAGACTAAGAACCTCATCCGACATCAAGTGTCGTCTCTCCTTATGGCCCACAGGCCGCGGGAAATGCTTTCCAAGGTCGAACGTAATGCGCTTAGAGAACTCAAGGCCGACAAAGACCTGGTCACCGAGCCAGCGGACAAATGACGCGCCACAGTTGTACTGGACAGGACAGACTACCTTCAAAAAGCCAAAGGTTTACTGGAGGACCGACAGTTCTATGTCCCATGTGC